CCTTTTATGCTTCTAACACTCAATTTACAAGTGTAGGTTGTGCAGCTATAGAAAACAAGGCTGTAGACTCAACAGACTCGCCCAGATGCAAGTCAAATTCACAAAGGACACCCAACATCTCCCATTCCCGGATGGCAATACAAGCTACGCTACTAATAGATTTCCTACTCAAAGCGTCAGCCACTACATTGGCCTTCCCTAGATGGTAATGCAACTCAAAATTATAATCTTCTATGAATTCCATCCATCTTCTCTGCCTCAAGTTCGAGTCCTTCTGTGTAAACGATGCTTCAGACTCTTATTATCAGAAAACACCTCAAATCTCTTACCATACAGATAGTGCCTCCAAATTTTCAAGGCAAAAATCACAGCTGTTAACTCTAAATCATGAGTAGGGTAGTTCCTCTCGTGTGTTTTTCAACTGTCGTGAGCCATAGGCTACTACTTTCCCTTCTTGCATCAATATGTAACCCAAACCCTCTCGTGAGGCATCACAATACACTGAATAGGCTAATCCCCTCTTCGAAATAATCAGAACTGGATCGATGGTAAGTCTAACCTTAAGCTCTTGGAACGACTTTTCACAAGTCTCACTGTACACAAATTTGACCCATTTCATCGTTAATCTAGTCAAAGACGAAGCTAATCTAGAGAAATCCTTCACAAACCGACGGTAATACCCCGCCAACCCCAAGAAACTACGAATTTTGAAAGCATTCTTAGGTTGTGCCCAATCCTGCACTGTCTCAATTTTGGATGAATCTACAGTCACCCTTTCCTCGGATACAACATGACCTAAGAACTTAACCTCTTTTAGCCAAAACTCACACTTTCTGAACTTAGCATACAACTTATGGGCTCTAAGCAACTCAAGCACCACTCGCAAGTGTATCTTGTGCTCCTTCTCAAAGGGTGAGTAAATCAGAATATCGTCCACAAAGACGACCACAAAACGGTCTAAGAATTATCGAAAGATTCGGTTCATCAAGTCCATAAACACAGCTGGGGCATTGGTTAGCCCAAAAGGCATCACAAGAAACTCATAGTGGCCATACCGCGCACGGAATGCCGTCTTCGGGATATCCTCCTCCCTGACCCTCAACTGATGATAGCCCGATCTCAAGTCTATCTTAGAGAAACAACAGGATCATTTCAACTGATCAAACAGGTCATCTATACGTGGCATTGGATACTTGTTCTTAATCGTAACCCAGTTCAACTTTCGGTAATTAATACAAAGTCGCAAGGCTCCATCTTTCTTTTTAGCAAAAAGAGCCGGTGCTCTCCAAGGTGAAGTGCTAGGGCGAATGAAACCCTTATCTAGTAATTCTTAGAGTTGAATCTTCAACTCACTCAACTCAACTGGTGTAAACTGATACGGTGCCATAGAAATTGGTGTTGTGCCAGACACTAAATCAATAGAGAACTCAATCTATCAGTGATGTGGTAAATTAGTAAGATCCTTGGGAAAGACATCCGAATACTCACAAGCCACTCTTGGTAACTCGACCCAAACTTCATCATACTACTCACTCAAGAAGCTAGCAAGAAGACAACTAAGTTCACTCTGCCCCCGTGGATCATACACCGGTGGTAAAACTCTACCAATCCGATCTCCCAAGAAATGAAAACAATCACCGCTCAAGGTACATACAGTAACCCTCTGACGGTAGCAATCTATAACAGTCCGGTATGACGATAACTAGTCTATACCCAAAATAACATCAAAACCAGTCATATCCATCAATACAAATGAAAAAGGGAGTCGGCGATCGACAACCTTTATATCACAACCCGACACCCCTGTTTCAAAACGATCTCACCTCTAATAGGTGATACAACACATATAGGAGATGCTAACTGTGCCAACTCCAACCCCAAAACTAATGCAAATGATAAAGATATAAAGGAGTGTAATGTACCTGTATCAATTAACACACCAGCAACTGAATTGCAAAACAGAAAGGTATCTCTCACAACAGATGGAACCGATACAAGATCTGGCGTTGTAATAGCATACACGTGCCCTAAAGGTCTCTGATCTACCTACTCACCCCTTGGAGCATAAGACTACTGCACTGACTGAGCCGAAAAGGCTCTCTGATTGGCCCTCGAGGCCTGTGCTGACTGAGCTGGCTGGTGACTCTGTGTTTGCCTCGAACCAGACACACCAGGTGTGCCACCCAACTGTGGGCAAACCCTTTTTAAGTGTCCTGTTTGCCCACACTGATAACAAGTGAGCGGCTAGCCTCTACCTTGACTCTAGCCCTGAGAATGAGCCGAAGATGAAGTTGTTCGCTGCTCTCATCCCCTCTGTGGGCAAGCTGGAGACTTATGGCCTAACTGACCACATTTGAAACAAGTAATGTCTTCCTGATCACCTCTCCTAGAACCCGAACTTTGCATTGGAAAGGTAGATCTCGAATGCGCTCCCTGGGACTGCTGAAGGTTAGAACCCTTCTGCCTCTTACTGTCCCCCTGACTCCTCTTGGAGCCCCTCATCCTCTCCTCCTCCGCATGCATGATAGTCTCGAGATGGGCTGCCGCCTCCACAAAGCGCCCATAGTCCCTAATCATGGACCCAGCTACTCTGAACATGAGTCTGGTCCGCAACCTCTCTCAAACTCCAAACATTGGCGCTCCTCAGTCACTACTAACTCCGGTGCAAACCTCGACAAACTAGTGAAGGTGGCTTTAAACTCAGCAACTGGTATATTCAATTGCACCAACTTGGAGAATTGATCCCTCAACTTCTCCCTTACTGTAGCAGGTAAGTACTTGTCGTGGAAAGTATCAACGAAAGCTTCCCAAGTCCCTCCAATGCGCCCCTGCGCATACTTTCACAACTGACCCGCGTCTTCCTTCAGCTGGAAGGACGCCAAGGTTACTCACAAGCCCCCGTTCGTGATGCCAAGTATCTCAAACGTTTTCACCATCTGTTCCAACCACTCATAAGCCTTCAGTGGCTCCTTAGGATCACCCAAAAACTCGTCCGGATTCGATCTGAAAGACTCTCTCTTCAGAAAAGACGGCCCTGTTTCAGCTACATGGGACTGGACTTGATTCTTAGCTCTGAGAATGTCCATGGGCCGCTATATATAAAAAAACCGGGATCGCTATATATAAAAAAATAAAACTGAAAATACACGGTAATAAGTAGTCGAACAAATTAAAAAAATCCAGCCTTGAGTTACCTAAATTGTATCTTTAATTCGACAGTTGGTTATCAGACATATATTTTTTGTTCGGCAATGTGATGTTGGACTATTTTATTTTGTTCGATTTCAAAATACCGAACAAAAGTTGAAGAACGGTCCAGAAAAACAAAACAAAAACCTATCAAACAAATAAAAAACTCAAATGTTTATTTTTGTTGAAATCTAGGTCGACTACCCTACCGGTACAATTCAGAAGACTAAACAGTCTACCCCATTTTGTACGTGTATGTATTGACGAAAGTTTGTTAACATCATAATGTTAAGTAACTTCGGTAGGAAAAATTTGTAAATCAAAACGTAGAATCAAATTGAGAATAGTATGATTCTATTTCTAATGTAAAATAAAATAAAAAATTATTTATGATGATAATATATTTTTTATGTTAACATAATTAGAAATGTTTAAAGAAAGAGTTTATAATCAAATTTCTTATATAAATATACATACATATATAAGAAATAAATAATAATGATTTTTTTTAAAAAAGGATTGGGATTGTAATAGAGTTAGTGCAATTCTACACGATTGTATAACTAAAATTGTAATTGCTTACTGAATTTAAGATTATAGTGAATCGTTTAATCTAACTAGAGTCTCCTACTAGCCGAATGGACACTACAACAATTAACACTTTTAGCAACAAAAAAATTGGTCGCTAAAAGTCTATTTTTGGTCGGCAAAAGTTATTCGCGACCAATTTTTTTGGTCGCTAGTTTGGTCGCCAATTGAGGGTCGGCAAAAGTAATTCGCGGCCAAAATTTTCATTGGCCGGCAAAAGTTGGATTTGCCGACTAAATTTTTGGTCGCTAAATATTTAATTACCGCGACTAATTCATTTTGTCGCTAAAACACTTTGGTCGCGAAAAGTCACCTTTTGCCGACCAAATTTCTTAGTCGCCAATTGACACATTTCGCGACCAAAAAGTTTGGTCGCCAATTGTAACATTTCGCGACAAAAAATTTTGGTCGCCAACTGTGACATTGTGCGACCAAAATTAGTTTGGTTGCCAATTGTTACTTTTCGCGACCAAAACTGTTGGTCGGCAAAAGTGAGTTTCCACGACCAACAAAATTTTTGGTCGGCAATAGATGTATTTTTTGCGACCAAAACTCTTGGTCGGCAATTGTCATTTTTCGCGAAAAAAAATAATTTATTTGTCGCGACTAATAAATTGGTCGCCAAAGCAGGAAAATAATACACCTGTAATATTTAGCGAATTCATAATCAAAATAGGACGAATTCATTATCAAAACAGGTCTTATTATAGAATTTTCTATATCCAAGTTTCAACACATAACTCAGCAGCAACAACATATAAATGTCAATTGATCAATTCAGATAAATGTCAAGGAACTGAGATAGTGGCATCATATAAGACCAAGTCAATTGACAAGTCAATAAGACCAAGTCTCAAGCCTTCCATCTTCAACTCCCAATGCCACCTCACAATGGATAAGGAGATGGCTAACCAATTTCTCATCATGTTTATACATACAACACCAATTAACATGCACTTGCGTTCTGCTAATCAAATTGTCAAAGCACCACATCACAAATAGGAAACTCCGAGGAACTATCACTTTTATTTCAACTTGCTTTGGAAATTCATAAAGGTGAACACCTGAGGATTCTAGACAGTCTTATATTTCATGCACCTCTCTTTTAAAAAAAAATAAATATAAGCAATGCTCTCCAATACTAGAAACGACTCTTGCTTGGGACATGGAAACTTGATCTTTTACATGTATATTTCTTTTTCTCCATTAATGAAACCATGTTTGAATTTTGATGGTCCAATTTGGCCAGTATGTAAAAATAAAAGGTCTGAGCTTACCTTCAATTTGTAGATATGCAATCCACATTGACTGAAGAGCTCCTTGAAGTATAAGTCTGACCTGGTAACGCTCTTATCTTCTTTATCCAACACAAATCCTAGAAAACATGTTATATGTAGTTTAGCAGGTATTCATATTTTAAAAACCTCCAGTACTACCTAGTGTATAAGCAAGGCTAGGCCAAAATGAAATTGAATCAAATCCACTTTTATCTACTAAAAGAATGCTCAATGTGGTAAAATATTAATTGGCCAATAACACTCCAAAAAGGAGATGATTTGAGCAGCAATCAACCAAGAGAAATGGAAAACTTGTTTGAATGATCCTCCTCAAGGCTGCTGCTAGTAGTCGTGGTAGTAGTAGCAGTAATAATAGCAATAATAACATGATAATAATTAACAAATTAGACCTTATTTTCTTAGGATCGTACACAATTTTAGAATCATTTACACTCATGATTAATAAAATTGAGTAATTTGACAATATCTAACAATTTTTAATTCGTAACAACATTGATTTTTTCTTTTTTTAATTTATATATATTTAGATATATTTCAGTTCATTTTTTCAAGCATTTTTTATTCAAATTCTTTTTGTCACCTTCAAAAAGGTTCCGAAACTTTACCTAAATGTTTCTATTTTTGTGAATGGAATGACATACTGAGAAGTAATTCAATCCTACCTAGGAGTCTATGTGAAGTTCCATATTTGCTATTCTTCTTCCTTCCATACTCGTCATCATCAGTATGTGTACTTAGTTTGGTTTTATTTAATCATTAAATTTTCGAACCTCAAGACTTAAGCATTCACAGGATACTTGGGATTTCAAATTGCTTTCAGACATCATCAGTATTTGACTGTTGTCAGCTATTGTGCTAGATAGTTGAGGTCAGCCTGATTCCTCTTAATTTCCCCCAAAACAAGAGAAAGAACCATCCTTACATGCAAAATATGAATAAACATTCAACCATACCATAAGTTTATCTCATTTTCTCCAATTTCAATATCATATTTACAATAGATGTCTAGGCATACATTTCACCTACTTAAATTTCAAATCAACAATGTTACAAGTGTAGAGATACAGAAGCTTTTAAGCCTTGCACTAAAAAAAAAAAGGGGGGGGGGGCTTTTAAGTCCTGAGTTGACTATACATTTCTTTTTATTTTTCCTTTATTTTAATAGGAGGCCACTAGTTTAGTGGGTACCCATCTACCCCTCCCAAACCCCCCATCTAATGGGGTACTAAACTGGGTATACTTTTTATTTTTCCCTTAATTTGATTTGGGTATCACATCTCTTTTGTCAATTCTTTCATTTGATTGTCTCTTGGTTGATACAACACAATACAAAGATGAAGACAAAAGAAAATATTAGTTTGTGCCCAATTAATAATAAACTGTGAAAGATGGAACTCAACTAATATTAAACCTAATGAAAATTTTCAAAAAATATAGGATATGACAAGTGGAGAGCATGCACACACTATATAGTTGAATATACTTACTACATGGCATAGATAATGATAAACAATTATTAAATGTCATATACATGACTATTTAATATAGTAATAATAAAAATAATAATTTTAAAAATTCAAAGGAGAAGAAAAAATATATAAACTTACATTATTTTTCTTTAATAATTTGATTTCAAGCTATTTTATTCAATATTATAATGTGATTCATGTATGTTTAAGAAATCGACACATATTTCTTAAGTGTAAGAACTATGTCCAAGTAAACAAATTTTAAAGATATGTTTGGACATATGTTCGACAAATGTTGGGAATTGTTCGACGAGTGTCATGCCGTGTTAGTGTCCAACATGATACGACACCTTCTTAGAAGTGTTTGTGCCTCTTAGACTATGACTTTTATTAATTTATGTTCTCAACAGCGATATTATTTTCCTTGAATAGAACGGTTCATTACATGCCAGACTAGTGAGGTTATGTATATGATGATGTGACATCTTCTTCCAGAGCATAAAATCTGAGATATATTTAGGGGGGTGTTGGGTTGTGTTTAGTGTTCAAAATTAACACTCTCATTTTAAATTATATTTTTGATAAGTAAAGTCATTTTCTAAATGTTCGAAATGCTTCTACAAGAAAGTCATTTTCTAAATGTTAGACATGCTTCTACGAGTGTCCAAGAAGTTGGTGTTTGACACTAACACAACACCTCACTGGAATTATCTATCACCATTCAAGTGTACATGCTACTTGATCATGACAACCATTGATTTCATAACCAGCATGAATGACTTCATCTGAATCATAAGGCTATTTTCATAAACATGCTGGCCAGAAATTTGGACATTAGCTATTTCTGTCAGTTATTTCCAATATTGCAGCTGGCACCACTTTAGCTTCCATGACTTCAAGCTTGACTCAGTGAAGGAACAATTAACTCAAGACGAGAGACAAAAACAAGAGTAACTCTATAGGAAAGATAATTTGTGAATATGCAAGCAGCTACAAGTTATCCAGAACTGAATAGGTTAAAAGTGGGAAACATAAAAAGTGTACCAGCTCTTGCAATGTTCTCCTTCAGCACAAAGAATCCACCAAGCTTCAGACCACCCTAGAAGTGAAAACATAGTCCATCAAAATTGGAATTCACCACATAGAAATGTTCTTTAAAATCATTCAACACAACAACAAAAAATTAAAATAAATAAAAAATAAAAATAAATAAAATCCCACGTGTTGAATAAAATCATCCTACAAGGAAACTACGTGACCTTGATATAGATAAGATTGTCCATTGCCACAATGTACATAGTTTCTTTAAGATATTGAGCTCCAAGAATTGTAAATGCAAATGGAATATTTTTATGGATACAAATTTTTGGTGTCATTGTTGAATACGGCAATAAAGGCAAAGATAAAATAATCCATATTTGTCCATAGCTTTTCATCATGAGTACTAAGCATCAGTTAAAAGAATTCAGAGAGGCCGTGACCTAGTGTAACTGACGACAGCAAATGCTATCCACAAACGAGTAGTCATGACAGGTAGGAGACCTTACCTTTGCTCTCTTAAAGAATGATACAAAATCATCATTTGCAAGATGCCCAATACACCATTGAACCCATATAACATCATACCTTCCAGCCTCTGGAGTGAATTCCTAAAACCAATCAAGATTTTAGTTTCACTTTATTTAAAAATCCATAGACAAAACATTAGTGTCATATGTCTCATCTCAAAGAATATTACAAAAATCAAGCCATTGGGCATAAAAAAAAAACATAATAAAAAAGAAATAAAAAAAATAAAAAGTTACCGGCCATGGCAGATCAACCTAATTAAGAAAAAAATAATGATTTTAACACCAGATAATCTACCATACACTAACCTAGATAAACAAGATAAGTGGCAAACTTAACATTAAAAGATTAGGCACTACAACACTGCCGTGAATAAAAACCAGATGAGGCACTACAGCAGCCCTTCCAAGCACCAAAACAGATCACGAAAACAGAACAGGTAGAGAAGACAACCAGCCCTTCAGGCAGAGAATCCAGAACAGAACAGAACTGCCATGAAATACTACAGCCCAGCAATCATACCAAACACACTGCCTTGAACTACAGCAGCCCTACATCCACTTCAAGCACCAAGATTGTTTAAGCCAACACAGCAACAAAACAGATACACAGCCATGAGCAAAGCAAAACAAATCAGGCACCACAGATCAACACATCAGCAAAAACAGAACAGATACTACAGCAGACAGCCAGCCCTTCAGGTACCTACACTACAGCAGACAGACAGAACAGGCACTACAGCAGACACACAGCACAGAACACACTGTAAATTAAATGCACCAGAACAGAACAACAACCAGAGCAGCAGGGGAAACAGATCAGCAGAACAGAATAGTGGAAGATTGGACTGCCACAATAGTGGAAGAGTTTGGCAAGAAAAATGGAGGTGAAGTAGAAGAAGAGGAAGAGGAGGAGGAAGGAGCTGGAAACATTGTAGAACAAACTTTGTAAAATAAAATATTAAAATATGGCCAACAAAAAGTTCTATTATTTTAAAATTAGGTTAATTAAAAAACTATTAACATAGGTTAATTGCTTGTGGTTTTAGACAAGTTCATTTGGGAAGGGCTTATGAGTATTCCTTGCATCTTAATGGAGAAAGGGCCTTTATAACAATAGAGGGGTGTTTAGTCATTTTAGAGCTTTTCATTGGATTCTTCTCATTTGCTTATTATTCTTGTCTTAAACTTGGCCACTAAGGTCTCTTTCTTTTGAATCAAAAAAAAAAAAAACTAAGGTTTCTTTCCATATACCTCTGTCTGCTATTGTGCGCTTTATGGACAAGCAACCAAATCTCTATTCGGTTTGGTGCCCTAAACTCTAAAGTAATTAATCAACTCTACAGAAGTCAACACCTATGAGTGTTGAAAAATTATTGAACAAATTTATGTGGTGGTTCAATTAAATATTTATTTGTTTAAATAGTAAGATTTATTAATTTTTTTTGTTGGTGTTTCATAAGATAACATAAAAGCATCAATTGATAAATGAATAAAATAACACTTCATAAATTTTTCCATCTGATTTGCTGAATAAACAAATGGCAATCCTATGTCCAAATCATCTCTTCCTCTTTATACTAGATCAACTCTCCACTACACAATCATATTAAAAATATTTATTGTGCGGTACGATATAGAATTTGAGACGAGAATAGGACAAGATTGTGTAAAACTCTTTTGTGGGCAATAGTATGGTAAGTGTGGAGGATTTAAAGTTAAGTGCTCTTGTGGGTTATAAACAATTGTAAAACTAGTCTTTGGGTGGCCCCAAGTGTTGGCTTAAGCTAGAGTTAGTTTCTCACCAACATCATGCTCTGTTCCCCCCCCCCTTTTTTTTTCCTTTTCATCCTTATTGATGTAAACTCATATGTAATATATGATTTCTTCATCAGCCTAAAAATTTTCTTTACTGATAATAAAAAAAAAAATTAGGAGAGATGCTCCCCTAGCATATAAACTCGGATTAAAAATTCTACTACTTTATTTTTTTTCCTTAACCCCACATAAATCCCACTTAGACAAGGTCTATAACATAATTAGGGCTGTTAGTCTAGTGGTTGTATGGTACTACTTGGTAATGTGAAGTTTGCAGGTTCAATTCTTATAGAAAAGAATTTGATATATCTTTTGTTTACCTTACGTAAATAGCATAGAGATGAACAATAATTGCATACCTAAGAGGATATTGTCACGATGTTAACTTTTTTTTATAATTTTTTTTATTATATTTTAATTGGTTTAGGATATTGTAATTGGTTTAGGGATTGATAGACATCTTTCATATTTATTATAGTATTTGAGAGGCAACATAAATGGCTATGATACTTTTCTAGTGCTCAATAGACAAACATAAATGATCGTTCATCTCCAAACTTTTCTATCCTTCGTCCCAAAACATTCAAGTCATTGGATCATTGAAAATCTCAAAATGTGATGATCTAAAGACATAATCTAATAAATGTGAATGTTTTGAGACAAGGGAAGCAAAAAATTGGAGACAAAAAGACTCCATATCGTAGATAATATATGAATTTTCACATGGCTTCCCTGTTGTACACACACAGCATAGGCACTAATGGAAGCAAGTACTGAATGCTTCACATGATTTACCTTTACCCATTACTACCATGGCTTTGGTCACCTAGCAGAGTGTGAGTGTTGAATCTTTTTATTAAGCCCAATTCTCAGGTAAGCTTCCTACAACTGATTTGGCTTCACACCCACCATGTGCTTTAGGTTTTTTTGAAATGATAAGACTTCTTCAAAAAAATTAGGTAGGGCAATGTGATAGAGCAACAATTTCAATGGCAAGCCTCACCATCTCACATATAGAACCTAGTTATACTCTATTAATCGATTACGTGATTAATTCTCCATCCATAAATTAGTCATCAACTCATCCAAATGAGATGTGGGTAAGCAGTTGGGCAGATGCGTCTGTATGAACTGAAATTTCTTAAAATAAAAGGGTTTAACAACCAGCTCTTATTCAACCTGGACGTCACTTAGTGTTCAACACTTGATATTATGCTACATTTAAGCAATGCCTTCGTCTGAGCTCTAGCTCATCTACAGGGTTGATATGGCAAAGTTTGAAATTTCCATTTTGTAAAACCCTCCATCTTATCACCACCCTCATTTTAACTTAGAAAGAAGGGGAAAAAATGTTCCACATAGTTTTTAAGAAAATAAAAAGTTTCAACCTTAGGTAGTGCAAGAAATAGCAGCACTGCTAAGGAAAAAATGCCACCCCCACCCTCTGAGTCTGAGTCATGCAGTTGCTGAAGAGGGTGCTCAAACTCACCATCAACAAGATTGTCTATATCTTTATTTCTAGAAAAATGTAATAGTAGAGCTATTGAAGGACTGAAAAAGGAAAACCAAAATTTTTTAAAAGAAAAAAAAAATTACTTCTAGCATCAATATCATGAGTGAAACATGAGGTTCTAAAGAAAATGATAAAGAAATGAGGGAATATGAAAATTTTTGAGAATCTCAAAAAGCCGTTCAAACCAAAGTAACTATCACTTTTGTTTCATCTTCTTACAAGTGAAATAAAACATAATGCTCTAACTTTTTTCATTGAAATAAATTAAGAAATAACAGAAAAAATTGTATACTCCACACATGTATTGTGTGTGATAAATGATGATAAGAAAGAGAGTTATCTCTGCCAACATCACAAGGTTATGTCCATAACAAAGGTTGCTTCATGAGCTATTTATATGGATGGTGATATGAAACTTACAACAATTTATGCAATGAACTTATTACTAATCAAAAAACATAATGAAAATTTTAACAATATGGATTTTGTCCGTCATTTTCCAACAGAGGCAAACAAAAACATGAATATCAATCGAAAACTATACTTCCTCGAGGAAAAAAAATGTTTAAATTTTCAATTTGATATATTAGATTGGGACAATTTGTGTTTCAATCTCACGTCAAAGCACTAGACATAAATTTTAAGCTGTTATTACTAACCAAGACCATCACTATCTATGATCTCATAAAAGCCTAATAAACCATTTTTTCTTTTATTGCCAATATGTATAGACACATATTATATGCATACATCATAGCACCATTGATATATCTTTCTCCATAATTCAAACCTTTGTCTTCATGAATTGTCAAATAACTGAAAATAATTTTTTTAAGAGGCATTACAACAAACACCAATCATCCACACAACAGTTACCCATTTCATCATTACTTATAAAAAGAAGAAGAAGAAGAGAAGAGAAGTAGTAGCAACAGCTAATTTCAACAAAGATGATACATAAAATAATAAGATTAAGAAATAATCCCATTGACATAGTGAAGGCAAGAATAAAGCAACAACTACAACACAACAAAAAATTTGTACCAATTATGTATGTACAGATTGCTAGTTAGGATCTTACCAAAATTATGGTGGGTGTGAAGACAAATTAATGGTGTATTTAGAAAGCACAAAAAATAACATACACCCATAATTAGTTGCAAATTTCAATTATAAATATCAAAATTGCTATAGTCATGATGCTCATGAAGATGATTAAGGATCTTGTAAAATTTTTTTGGAACACATTGACTGAATAAGAATCTGTGATGCTGTGCTAACATAGAGATGTCAATAATGTTGAAGAGAGAATAAGAATTTACCTCCATATGGAACCTAATCATTAGCTCCGTTCAGCTGCTTTCTGCATTAGTTTATAAAGGTTACATTTAGAAAAAAGAGAATGACAAAGAAACTTCAAAAAAAAAAAAAAATGAGATATTGTAGAAATTATTAATTACATGAGAAACATGGCAGTTGTAGAAATTATTTGATGTAAATACAATCTGGAGATATTCTATATTCTATGTATAGTACTCACCTTTCAACATTAGTATTAGTTCACATTATACATCAATGTAATTCTTATCTCTTTATAAATAATATATATATATATATATATATACGTGTTTTTAATTAAACTAACAGAGGAACCATTCAATTAAACTAAACGTAGAACCAAGTTTAATCTTTCAGAATCACACCCCTATATCTCACTTTCAGGATCATACTTTCAAAATCGCATGCCTATACTTTCAAAGAAAGGAACTAAGAATTTTAAGTAGGATCACACCCCTATATCTCACAAATTGAACAATCAAAGCTAAATTCAAATCTAAAAAAAGGTCTACTCAACCACCATACATATAAATCAATAAAGTTCCCACAATCAAAATCAATCTGATTAAAAAAAAATGAAACACAAACCCCAGAATTCAAATTGACAATCAAACAAGAAACAAAGTGAGACCAACAATGTCAAAATTTTACACATAGAAAAAATGGCACAGAACAATCGAGCACTATTGCTCAATACAAAACATATATATATATATAATATAAATAAACCCTAAAAACAATCGTAAAACCCCAAATCAATGACACTAAACAACAAGTCATACAAAATCAATGTGGTTAGGAAGATGAATCGAGTAGGGCCATTCTTATAAAGGTCAGGGAAAGCAAAAGAACACAAACAAAAATATGTTTAGTTTAAAAGAGTCCAATATCCTTGTAAACATAATTAGTCCTATCATAGGGAAAGCACTAAAAATATACTTGAGAGTAATGCCTATACAAACTAACAAATTTTACAAATCTTCTTGATGAGGAGATCATATATCTTTACTCACTGTATTCTGAACGGAAATGATTTGAACAGAAAACAAATGGAGATAAGGTTCTCTTTTGCTAACTTATACAGAAGGGATAGAGTTCACACTGTAAAATCAAAAAAATGAATAGAATCGTACTAACTATCTCCGTTAGGATATATGGTTAGGAAAAGAGCTTTAACTAGTGTGTAATTGTTGCAGAAAATTTAAACCACAAAGGTAAGAGCGGTATTGACATGCAAATTACAAGATTCCTTGCAAGAAAGCAATTGTAGAGCAACAATTAAGTCAGATGAAGTGGTTAAAAAGAATAGAAGAAAATTACAGAAGCCCACTTAGAAATCAAAACCTGCAAGCAAGCCAAAAGAAAAAAAAAAATTTCCACCCCATTAGATGCTAATTCAAACTGTCGTCGAAACATTCAGTCCTTGCTTAGAACTCAATGGACTGTCGGTATGGTTTGGTCCAAATCAATGAACCAAATAGACAAAAGACCAAGAATATATATATATAGATATAGATTCAGAGAGATTCAAATAGATATCAATGAACAAACAGATCAAAAACGGCCATGGCTTCGATCACCTTTTCTTCACTTTGTTCTTGCACCTCCAAACGCTCGCCTCTCATCTCTTCTCTTCCTCACTCGTTGGCAGTAGTCGTGGCTACAACCGTTAGTACAATCATGGAAAATGAATGGCAAACGACCATGGCTTCGATCTCCACAGATTGGAGCCTGGATATCATCTCAGACAGATCTTCTCGAATTCGGTGGAGCCGTAAGAATTAGGGATTTTTTATTGAAGGGGATTTTTGGCTTTTCAGATTGGGTATTTTGGTTCAAGAGATGGGGAGGGGGGAAGCCGAGCGGGAATGGAAAAAAGGGGGGTGGAAAATCGAGCGGGAAATTTTTTTTTGTTTGTTTGGTAAATATTTAAACAGCAAAATGATTCTTTTTATAAAAAAAAATTATTTTTTGTTAAAATAATTTTTTTTTTATAGTTAATGAATTTATTTTTTCCAGTTATGAAGGTTGAAAATTTATTTGTTTCATTTTTATTTTAATGAATAAAAAATTATTCTTATTTTTTACTTTGGTAGAAATAGGAGTAATATTTTAATGAAAAATAATTTCTATAAATTTTATAAATTGGTTTTTGTTTATTTTTAGAAAAAAATAAACTACAAACGCGTTTGGTTTGAACAAAATGTTTAAAAAAATTAAAAAACATAAACTAAAAAACATGTTTGTTTAGGCCTAAAATATTTATATTTATTTTTTGCATTATTTATGACGATGGAATTATACACATTATAATTGAAAAAAAATATTTGAAAAAAAAATATTTGAAAAGAGATGAGAGAGATAGAGAAGAGAAATGAGTAAGAGAGATGAGTGAAAGAGAGAGAAGAGAAATGAGTAAGAGACATAGAGAGTAAGAGACAGAGAGAAAGAGAGACCCATTTCATTTTTTGACTTTTTCCTCTTTCAATAATAATGGGCTCAGAGAAAGAGATGAGTGTGATTGAGAGAAATGAACGATTGAGAGAGAAGAGAAATGAGAGAGAGAGAGAGAGAGACAGAGAGAAAGAAAAAAAAAGAAAGATAAACAAGATGAGCGAGAGATAGACAGAGAGAGAGAGACAGAGAGAAAGACAGCAAAAAGAGATGAACAAGAGATATAGAGAGAGTGAGAGGGAGAATAAAGATAAGCAAGAGAGATAGAGAGAGCCAACGAGAATAGTGATGAGTGACAGAGAGAGGAAAAAAAAGATAGAGAAACAAGATGAGCGAGAGATAGACACAGAGAAAGAGAGATAGAGAGAGAAAGACAACAAAAAGAAATGAACAAGAGATAGAGAAAGAGACATAGAGAGAGAGAGAATAAAGATGAACAAGAGAGATAAAGAGCGGAGAGATATGAAAGAGCCAGAGAGAAGAGTGATGAGTGAGAGAGAGGGAAAAAAATTGGGGAAAGATAGAGGGAAAATGATAGAGAGAGAGATAGAGAGAAGAGAGATTTTTTATTTGGCGACCAAAACTTTTTGGTTGCCAAAGGTAAAAACAAATTTTTATTTTCCATTCGACGACTAAATAGTTTTGGTAGCCAAAACTCAATATAAGGCAACTAAAATACTTTTAGTCACTAAAAATAAGTTTTTTGGCGACCAAAATTTTGGTCGCTAAAGATAAAAAAATAATTTTTTATTTTCCATTCGGCGACTAATTTGTTTTAGTAGCCAAAACTCAATATACGGCGACTAAAATATTTTGTCGCTAAAAATAAGTTTTTGGCGACCAAAATTTTGGTCGCCAATTCCATAACCAACTTATTTTTGGTCTTCCGCGACCAACTTATTTTTTGGTCGCCAAAATGTGACCTTCCGCGACCAAATTTATAGTTGGTCGCCAAAACCATACCACTTTCTGCGACCAACTCATTTTTTGGTCTCTAAAATATGACCTTCTGTGACCAACTCATATTTGGTCGCCAAAAATAATGATCATTCGCGACTAATTAATATTTGGTCGCCAAAAGATAACTTTTAGCTACCAACTTTTATATTAGTCGCGAAAAATAGTCGCTAAAAGCGCAGATTCTTGTAGTGGGAGTTTATGATAATCATGATATTGACATGATTTAGAGGACACCTCAAATATAAGATACAATTTTTTAAACATTCCTATGATAATATTAACGTTATATTTTACCTACTAGAATAAAATAAAGTGTAATAATCGTTTCCTATTTTTTTATAATAATAAATGATAAATTAATTTACAATGTATATATATATATATATTTTAGTTAATCAAACATAAAAATAAACATTTTAATAAAATGCTTATTAAATTTTACTTCATTTGAGTGACCCAAATATTATTTAATAGACTCCATTTTATGGTAACACTTACGTAAAATAATTAAAATGCTCGAAGAGTTACTCCGTCGAATCTAGTCAAAGTAGTCATTGAATATTTTATTTGACTAATTACTAGCAAGTCTTAAGCTACACTATTATAGATACTAATCACCATTTGTTTTGTTTCGGAGCACCACTTGAACTTATTGTAGAAGGATCAAATTGTTTGGTTTGTTTTTTAGAAAATTTTTTGAAAAAAATTCTCTACAAACAAATTTTCAAGAGTAATCAAACCAAACAAATTTTTTCAAAAAAAATCTCAAAATTTTGTTTGGTTACATACTTTCCAAAATCTCTCTCTCTCTCTCTCATACACATCAAATCAATCAATTTTTTTAAAACTCTCTTCTCAAAATAATTTTCCAAAACTATTTCTGAAAAAAGACAAACTAAACAAGTTTTCGTACTTTTTATCTAAAAAACTACCCTACAAATACAAACCAAACACTGGTTTCTCCGAGCTCATGCTCTTGGTTAGAAATTATGACAGCTCATTCTTGTTATTTATGACCTATATTTATTGAATGTGAAATTAAAATTTTAAATAAAATATGATATTTAAATCCCCTAACAGCTTAAAATTTCATATTTATCTTAACTTAACAGCTTAAAATTTCATATTTATTATTAAAAAAACTCACGTGAGCCTCAACATAACAGAATTAAGTATCAGATAGCTACAACTACATATGCAATTCAGATGGAAAGTAGTTAAGATAAAGCAAGCAAAAGAAGCACTAATTACACTGTCTGGATTTTGAACAAACTTGAACTATCCAGGTTTTTACAACTGACCTAGCAACAGCTCTGTTGAGAAAATCACTGTGCTATATGTACCACTAGCCACAAGCAAGAACAATCAAATTTCCTGTTTCCTATTTTCAATCTCATAGCAATGTCGAAGTCTCAATCTTGCAGCTTGGACCAAATCAGAAACAGACACTTGTAGAGTCACTTTCCTATATTACAAATAAAGGGCCAATCGCTTCTCATTTTATGTATTAGATGTGCTATCCACATGTTTGTTTTCTGAATCTTTTGCAGTCTGACTATCCTCAATCAAGATGGAGATGCTCTCTCTGGCTTCCACTCCATTACTCTCTGATGCAAACTGATTCTCTTCAATTGTGCGCATCCGATAATCATCCTGTGCTCTTGATGAAAAGCTGGGGCTTGTCGATAGACAGTTATAAGAATGGGTGCAGAGGGACTCCATTCTATAATGAGATCGGATGACTGAACTGAACATAGGTTGCATGCACTTTTTCTCAGGAATCTCCCGCAATGAAATTCTACAAACTGGGCACGTTGAATGTTGATGCAGCCATCTATCAATGCAGGCTGCGTGAAAGGAGTGCCCGCAATAAGGAAGGATACGCAATGTATCTTCCTCACGATATTCAGCAAGGCAAACCGTGCACCTGGCGCGCACAAAATTTGAGCAGTTTGGTTAGAAGGAAAATCGAGATATATAAGATTGGTAATGATATTGGCGAGCAAAAGCATTCTCAAGAAGTGGTGAGGGGTTGAAGTGGGAGTTGATTTGGCTTCAGTTTTTGAAGGATTCTTGTCAGTATGTTCATTTGACTCCTTTGAATTCCATATTCGAAGTTGCGATCGGATCGATTTATGATGCCAATGGTGGTTGAGTTCTCAACAAGGTGGACAGGGCTTTGGATAAGCTAGAGCAGTTTTAAATCTTATTACTAATAAGGGTGAATGTTCATAAGCAAATGGATGAAGCGATGAAGAGGGTGAATGAGCTCGCTCATGTGGATGGTAAGGTGAATGGAAATGGCGATGATTGTATGAGTTTGGAGAAGTCAGATTTGAAGAAATGGTTAAACCTCACCTCTAGAAAGAAGAAGGAAGTTTAAAATAAGGCTTCGGTTGACAAAAGGGGAGTGGCCTTTAGGAGAGCAATGTCGGGAAAAAAAACAACGCTGAGTGTTTGGGAGACATATAAGAGAGAGGTACTGTCTTCTAAAGGATTGAAGCCCAACAAGAATGTTAGTGTTTTTTTGTTTTTATGGAAGAGTTTAAAAAGACAGTTCAAAGAAAAGCATGGAAGTTAAATCGGTTGTTATTGCTAAAGCTCGAGGTCGACCAAAGTCCATATCCACTTTTGTTGACCTTATTCATAGTTTGGTATGCAAAAAGCATAGGTTTCTCATCGTGGAAAAATTTAGGATAAATGATAAATTGAACCATTAGTCTATGTTGGATAAATTACATCATTAATTTAGGTAATTTAAGTGAAGAGTCACTTTAGTTATCGAAGTTTTAATTTAAATACATTCTTTACTACAATTTCAATTTTGTTGCTGATCAAAAATAAAAAAATAAAAATCCCTTATTGTACAAGCAGCCACAATCTTTAGGAGAACCAAAATCTTATACTAACAAATAAATCAAAAAGTTCCAATAATTCCAACTTCTACACAAATCAGCAATGTGAACCCCATACAAAACATCGAGAAAGCAAGAACCAACCATAAAGTAACACCACTACCAGAGATATCAACTGACATTTCGCATCCCCAAGATTGTCATATGGCCCTTTCTATGATGGAAAAAATAATCACAGAAAACTAAGCATTGGATATATTAAGGCTCTGTTTGTTTGTGCTCTGAAAATAGTTTTCAACACTTGAGTTTGAGCATGATGTTTGGTAAGAGTTTTGGAATTAATTTTTCAAAACTCTGCCGGAAGCTCTGTCTATATGTCAAAGCATTCTGTTTGTTGCAGAGGAGGCGTTTGAGGGAACGGGACGTCCGGCCGGTCGTCCGGCCGGCTGTTCGAAACAGTGATTTTTTTATTTTTTTATTTTGCAATTGATTTATATAATCGGGAAAAATATTTTCTGAAAATTTTTAAATTTTTTACTCCCTCCGTCCCAAAATAATGGTCCCTTTTAGGGAATCCAACTTTTTTTGGTAGTACAATTATTGTACTTTTAAAAAGTTGGTTTTCCAAAATTACCCTTTGATAGTACACTTTCCAAAACTATTTTCAAAATTCTTTACCAAACAAATTTTCTACACTCAAATCATAATTCTATAACACACAAACTCAAAATATAACTCATACTCTCAAATCACATTTACAAAATACAACCAAACGCAAGCTAAGCCTTGCCACCAAAATTTCTCCCTCAAAAAACCATCATCAAGCTAACTCAAACTAGCACTCTTCCCCAAATATTAATTATGGGCTGTGGATTAGAATAAAATTAACTATTTTAATATCAAATGAGAACTGTCTGTTTCAGGATAAACTTCACAAAGAACACATCGATAGGAAACTTTCCATATCCTTGGAATCAGTTATTGTACAGATGAATAAAGTCCATAAAACTGTGCAAAACGAGAAAGCAACTTTTGAAGGACCCAAAACTTCCAAATGAAAGTTATTGGAAAGTAAACTTCCCTGAAATAAAGAAACCAAAAGAGAAAAGTTACTTGAGAGGCAATCAATGGGTTATGTTCCCTTATCTTCACTACTATGGTCCCGAGAGGCAATGAATGGGTCATGTACTCTCATTTGTCAACCCCTTGCAATTACAAGGGAATAAATGAGTTTCAAGAGAACAATCACAATCCTAATACTGACAGCATTAATCACTAGCATTACTCTATCCCAACAAATGCTAAAAGATTAGAGCAACGACTTTGAGGAAAATAAACAAGATGACAATTCCCAAACCTTCACCCTTAAACCGGTGCCAACCATCACATTAGTAACCCATGCCCTGTTGTAAGCAGGAACTTTTGAGCACAAGGTACAACCTTAATTACAGGATGATGTTTTAAAAAAAAAGAAAAAAAAACCATTCTCCGGCCAGATCCTTAGGAGCCCACAACATCAACAGACGCTCAAATCACAAATTCCCCTTTATGTGGCCAGATCCTTTAGTCCCTTCTTTCTATTTAATGATCCATGCTCTGTTCAAATATAATGTTTGGATTAAGACAATTATCTGTGAATGTATTTTCACTTTTCTTATACCAATCTGCACTTAATTATTTGAAATTTGTTTAGTGTATATGTTTTTGTTATGCAAGTTTCTCACAAGTAAAATGTAATACCAAACTCCCACACACACTACTCTGTTGGACCCTCAGCTCCACCTATAGAATTATATTAATTTCTTCGATAGAAGACCATCAAATTAGTAGAGCGATAACCCCATGCATGTTTAAAACATTCCTATTAGTCCCTCTCTCCCCTTAGACATCCTTTATCAGATTCCTTAAACAATAACTAACGATGGGTAGATAACAAATTCTAAATAACATAATTACATCACATTACCCTGCTTGCCTAACCTAGTAAAAAACAGGGCATATTATAATAAATTGATCAAACATGGCTGCATACATTTCATAAAGATTCAATTTGGAGTGATTCATGACTACACCGTGAGGAACGATGAGTGAATGAAAACAAAGAGTTATGCAAAACATACACCAAACAAAGCCAGTAAAGTAAGGAACAACAAGTACAAAAAACCAACTTACTGAGCATCTTGTGAAGAGGAAACAAATGCATCACTGTACTTCTTTGTCGGAAAGTTGGCTACGACAAGAGGATCAAGGCCGCGTAAACCCCGTACCAGCTGTACCACACGAAAGTGAACAATCATTTAGGTAATGATAGCAAGAAATGATCCACAAAGGATAAAACAAAATGCGAGGCAAAAGTGTGAAGTTTGTCTTATGTTACATGCTGATAAGAAACAACAAAAAAGCAGTTCAAATAAAAAGGAGAACAGAAAGTTTTCAATTTTTTAGCAAAGCTACAAGCCTTACATTACAAATGGTTTTACCTAGGCTTTCAAATTGAGTGCTAAGAAACCAAAAACCCACAAACATTATCCCCAAAAAAACAAAAAAAAAGTCAAGGGATCAAAATGTTTGATATACAAAAATAAGGCAAAAGAAACCTCATCATCTTCTTTTGTTCAAACAAATAAAAACTTCTCAAAATTTTATGGTTGGTTAATTTTTCAAAATCTGTTTTCTAAAATTAGTTTCCTGAAAAAAAAAAAATAAATAAGAAAATAAAAACACTCATTATTTTCATTAGAATTTCGCTTTTTTGGGGGGCGAAATTAACTTTTAAATGTCTTTATTTTTAAGTATTTAATTTTGTCAAACTATTTTTAAATTTTTCAAAAAAAAATAAAATCAGAAAACATGACAACATTTCCACCAAACCTATCATAAAAACCAACACAAAAGAAATGAAAATGAAAATGAAGAGAGAAAAATGGGAATAAAAATAAAACCATGTAAAAAATATCAAGCACCTACAAATTACTAATTTTTACAAATAAATAAACTACAAATTCATGATATCACATACCAAACCAATAAAAAAAAATTCCAATTAGACCTAAATTAAGCAAACTTATTACTGATGAATAAATGATTAAGAAGGAAGAAGAAGAGCTTACTATGCTAAAATCAGATCTAGAAGTAGAAGAGATTGGGAAGGACCGCCTCGAAGCGTTCAATTGAATTCGAGCACAAACGAGTCGCGTGCAAACGAAAACGATGAACAACGTACTCACCGCGAATCCAATCACGGTCATCACCAAATTGATTCCTGTTGATATCATTTTTTGTGTATGTGAAACTAGAATTAGGTTGATATACATAGTTTCAAATCTCTTTCCATCGTAACGATTTGGAGCTTCAACCAACAACCAAACAACTACTAATCATCATTACTGTCTCTCTCTCTCTCTCTCTGTTGCTCTCCCCACCTGAGCACTGAACTTTTTTAATTTATCTTCAATTAAGGAAACTCTTTTCTCTCTCCAATATATATATATATGTGTGTGTGTGTAGCTGTTTTGTCTCTGTAGAATTCAGGCCTTAGATTGTCTGGGACTGAAGAGAGTGTAGAGATTTGTTTGTCTACAAACGGACAAAGTGAGAGACACAGACAGAAAGTCAGAGATAAGAGGTTTGTGTTAGATAATTAAGTGAGTGAGACAGAGAGTGACTAGATTGATATCAGGCGCCGTTTGTTTTTGAAAGATATAGTTGGAATTGAGATTGAGACACAGCAGACCTCGGGCAAATTATTCAATAATTTCGAAACACTACGTGTCTATATTTTAAGTCAATTATCAATTATTTAGATTTATGTTGTTCTACCATTTTCAACATAAATCGTGATTCTTTGCACGTTTTCATCAATCAAAATTTTATGAAGTACCATGTGTCTATACTCTGAGAGTACTGAATAATCACCCCATTATGTGTGAGGTATATTTTGGGAGATAAAAAAAGGATTTATAATTTTAGGCTCCGTTTATTTGGGGTTATAGGAAAGAGATTGGGATTGATAGTGAGGTGGAACTACTATATGGGGTGTTTGTTTTGAGAGATTGACAAGGGACTACTAATACCTTAGTATTAGTAAAGGTCTTGGAAGGGGGATTCATAGTGAGGAGGTAGAGATGGTATTAGAAAAATAGTGACGGGATTAGAAATTTTATTTATTTTTTATTTTTTATATATTGAGAATTTTTTTAAAAATATTAATGTTTAATTTTTTTAAAAAAAAATTATTTCTTTTATTATTTTATATAAAAATAATTTAACAATTTCTCACTATTAATCCCCTCACTATCAATCCCCTCAGTATTAATCCCATCACTATCCATCCTCTCACTAACAATCCCTTCACTCTTAATCCCCTCACTATCAATCCCCTCCATTCTATCTCTGAAAACAAACGGAGCCTTATAGAATTATGATGTGGTTTGGTGTTGTGATTAAGGTGGAGGAAGTGGAGGTAGTATTAAGAAATTAGTTCTTTATCTTAGTTTTTTTTTTTTTTTAATGTTTTTGTATTTTTTGTTGGTTTGATTTTCTGAAAAAATTTTGGGAAATTTTCTTTACAAATAAGTTTTCAAAAATAATCAAACCAAACAAATTTTCCCAAAAAAATTTCTCAAAACTTGTAAACCAAACAAGTTTTCCAAACAAATCTCTCTCTCACACATATCAAATCAATCACTTTTTCCAAAACTCTATCTCAAAATAATTTTCCAAAACATCTTTTAAAAAAAACTAAACCAAACATGTTTTCGTACTTTTTATCTCTAAAACACATCTCTCAAACACAAACCAAACATACCCCATAATTTTATTTATTTTAATATTTTATATTTCTTTTATAGGGGAATAATTTAACAATCCTTATACTAACAACTATCATCTAAATAAATATAATTTTACTTAATTTCCTCACTAACAATCCTCTCACTATTAATCTCCTCCATCTTACCTCTAAAAACAAACGGAGTCCATAGTTATTGATATTGGAAGAAGGTGAGGCTAGGCTAGGAAAAATTGTTTTGGGATCCTAGGACGCCACGTGGCGATATTCTCACAAATTACAAATTTTTATATTTCCTTATATTCTCCAATCACCTAATACAAATTCATGGGTCTTAGGCCATCTCCAATGGTTCAGCAAACTTGACATCAGATTTGAAATTTGGTGAAAAATGCACTTTTTGGAACTCCAACGGTTTCACCAAATTGGTATCAAAATGAGAATTGAACAAAAAAATCATCAAACTGAGAACAGGGTACAGATTTCACTTCTTTACTGTGCGTGACCGTTGGAAGAGGAGACCAACCAGTCAACTAGCCGGTTGACCGGGTCATCAAATCTGCTTTGTTTTGTTCTCAACAAGTGCTAATATTATTTGAACTGGTTTATTTTGAGATAGGTTATTTTGTGGACTATGAATAATTTGAGGAGTGATATAAATTTAAATTCCCATGAAAACATAATTGAAAATGTTACATCTCATATACATATTTCAGAACTAGCCGTTCTAATAATTTACCGTTGGATGGACAGAGTATTTTGAAAATTTACCGTTGCTGATGTGCTCTATAAAATATATCTGTTTCGTAATATCAAGCTGTGCATTTCAATTGGGTTGACAGAGTATTTCATTTTCAGAATAGCATTACATTATATGCTGTGAATTTTGTTTGTTTTGTGTCATTATAAATTTTTTTCTTATCAGTGCACTTTAATTTATATTATCTGATTCTCAGGTTGAGTGTATATCATTCTAATATTTTTCAGTAAGTTAGATATTGTATGTACTGAATTTGTTTCAAACTATGGAAGATTTTGAAATGATTGAGGAATCACAAATGTTGGAGCACAACATTGAAAATTTACCGTTGCTGATGTACTGAATTGAACACATCTACTGAATTGAATAAATGTAAGACATGATTATTAAATTATTATTTAAGACATGATTATTAAATGTGAATAAATTGATGTGGTATTATCATTTGTGGCACATCAATACTGAATTGAACACAGAATTGAAGACATGATTATTAAATTTGGTTAGGTATTATCATATGTAACTAATTAAGACATGATTAAACTCATTTGTAATTCTCATGAATTGAATACAGAACAATTCTGAATATTAAAGATTGGATCATCACAACAGCATATCATCACATAACTTCTGAACTACTTGGTTAATATAGTGCATCGTAATGAAGATTACAAACGAGACAACCTTCCATTCCAAAACTATAAAAAAAATTACATGTATTGATGTGGTGAATTTAGTTTTCACCATGAAGATGCCACATATGTTCTATTAAATCATTACGGGGGGCATGGTATGCATCCTTATCTCTAATACCTAAATGACGAGACAAAAACGATTGAAAGTCATTGGTAGGAATAGAGGAAAGTTGCACTGGTGCGTTGATTGATGAAGATCCAGAATCGAAATCAAGGTGCTCATTCCTCTCATCTTCGACAATCATATTATGTAATATAATGCAACTCTTCATTATGTTGGCAAACATTTTCGAATCCCAAAAACGTACATCACCACCTATAATTGCGAATCAAGATTGAAGTACTCTGAATGCCCGCTCTACATCTTTCCTGGCAGACACTTGCATCATTGCAAAATGTTATTTCTTTGCTCCTTGGAGAGAAGAAATTGCTTGAACCAGTGTTGCCCATTGAGGGTATATACCATCAGCAAGGTAATAACCCATATCGTAACTATGTCCATTAATAGTGTAATGGACAGGGGAAACTTTACCTTGAGCAAGATTAGAAAAACAAAGGCGATCAGTCCAACACATTCAAGTCATTGTGTGAGCCAGACATTCCAAAAAATGCATGCCAAATCCATAAGTCATAAGATGTTACTGCTTCAAGAATAATGGTTGGCTTTTTTTGATGCCTACGTATTGACTTTGCCATGCTTTTGGACAATTTTTCCACTCATAATGCATGCAATCTAAACTTCCCAACATACCCGGAAAGCCCCGAACCTCCCCAATAGCAAATAATCTAGCAATATCAGTTGGTGTTGGAGATCTCAGATGTTCTGGTCCAAAGATTTCAATCACCGAATTACAAATTTGTTGCAAACTTTGAATTGCAGTGCTTTCCCCGATACGTATATAATCATCAATTACATCTGCTGTGACACCATATGACAATATTCTCATCGTTGAAGTCATTTTTTGTAGGGGAGATAATCCAACTACATGAGCTGCATCTTGTTTCTGAACAAAATATGAATTATGTGTTTGGATTGCATTCAAAATTCGCAGATACCAAGGACGACGCATTCGAAAACATCTCCGAAATATTGTAAGTGAATACACTGGATTTGTAGCAAAATAATCTGCAAACAATCTCTCATGACCCTGCTTTCTATCTTTACGTATATACTTATGGCCTACAACAGAACCACCTATTTTCTTTGAGCTATCACTTGACTTAAGAATCTGAAGCATACTAGCATTATTCTTCTCATAAGCCCCTAAAAGTGTGACCATATATTCATCATTAGACTTATCATCAGAGGATGAGGAAGAAGAAGATGATGAAAATGAAGTCAACATCATGGATTTGAAGGTATTCATTATATTCTGTTTTGTTTAAGCTATGATCATATCAGTTGTCTGGCATATGGATAATGTGTTTATGTGATATTTTAGAAGCAAATCATTGTTGGAGGTAAACCAAAATGAAATATATGTAATGGAGGGAAAAAGAAATAGGAAAAGAATTGGGAACAGAAAGGAAGGGAAACAAAAAAAACAATAAAATAATGGCCTTACCGGTCGACCCGCCGGTCGACCAAACGGTTGACCCTCCCCCTTTGGATGCTCACCGTTGGAGGAAGCAATATCAAACTGAGAAAATTGACTTTTTTTTACTCAAATTTGATGAAAAATTTGGTTAAGCATTGGAGATGCTCTTATTTCTTCCACTAATCTAAACACCATTGGGACACCATATGACAGTGCCCTAAGACCAACCAATAACTTCTCCTAGGCTTGGCGATGGATAAGGTATTTGGTGATATTGAGACACAATGACATGGTGCCTTAGGGGTGTGTTTGATTGGGGGATTATTCACTGTTCGGATTGCTTATCCGAATGAGTGAGTAGTCCATCGTTTGTTTTTTTTTTAGTTCGCCGAACATGGAGTCCAGCCGGACTCCTTATCCCCCATATGGGGAATTGTATTATCTTAGGGGGGGGTATGAGACAATTTTGGAGGAACTATTTACTGTTGGGATTAGGTGATAAAATGACTATTTGGACACTCTACTATTTAATTATGTATTATATTTAGTAAAATTCAATAAAATTTAAATGTCTCAATTTAAAAATAAAATAATTTTATTTAACTTTTTATTGATGTTTTGTTTATTTGTTTTTTTAAATAATTTTTTATAGATATTTTATGGGTAAATTACAAACACCCCTTCGAGGTTTGGTGAAAATACAGATTCCCCCATGAGATTTGAGAAATTACATCCCGCCTCCTGAGGTTTATATTTTCATAACAAATTGCCCCCTGAGGTTTTTATTTTCATACAGATTCCCCCTAATTTGTTATGCAAATTTGACCCTCAGGGGGCAATTTGTAATTTCTCAAACCTCAGGGGGAATCTGTATTTTCACCAAATCTCGAGGGAGGTGTTTGTAATTTGCCCATATTTTATTGATGTTTTATTTTAAAATTTTGTTTATATTTTATTTAATTTCATTATTTAAATGTTAATAGATGTTTTATTTAATTTCATTGTTTAATTATTATTATTTTAAAAAACAAAATTGTTTAAAATTTTAATTAAAGAAATAACATATATTTTTATTGATATTTTATTGATAGTTTATTTATTTTATTTTAAAAAAATAAATTTATTTAATTGTGTAAAAAATAAAATAAAATAAATTTTTATTTAATCTAGCTAAAAATAATTAAAATATTAAAGATATGTTTAATATTGCTATTACTTAGTAAACAATTGAAAAAAGGGTAAAATAGTCTGTTGTTCATTTATCCTATCCAGTTCGTTCAACCAAACATTGGTTTCACTAAAAATAATCTTTTTCAGGCATCTAATCCCATGAAAAAACAAACACATGATACATATGCAGTCCAACCAAATAGTTCGGGGATTCACAGTCCCAGAACTCAAGTCTCCCGGACTCAAGTCCAATGAATTCTAATCTCCCTTATTCAGTCCGTCTAATCAAACATACCCTAAGTGTGTTGAGTTTGGTAAAAAAAGTTGTAATTTATGATTTTGTATCAGGTGATTAACTAATATGAGAGGATATGATGGTTTGTGATTTGTAAGAGTATAGTTCAAGTAGTTTAAGAGTAAAATTATAAATCGAATATGACGGATCGACAAATTGACAAATAGCGATTTGAGCGAGTTTGGATGGATTAGCGGATTAAAGAATATTCTAATAAATTATCAAGTATTTGCATAATATATAATATTAATTTCTATAATATTATATATATATATATAATATAAATTAATTTTACATACTATTTTTCATACATATAACTACTAATTTGTAATAAATTTTACATATTAAGGTGTCGTTTGGCAAACTTGACTTTTTAGTTTTTTTAGCCTGGGACTTTTTTGTTCGTTTGTTTTCTTGTTTGGCTTTTTTGCATTGGAATGACAAAATTGCCCTTCACTTGGAAATGATACTTTTTTGACTTTTTGTTTGTATATGGGTTAATTTGGTAATTTTGCATCAAAAGTTAAGTGTGTTTGTCATTTTGTGACTTTTTTTTGTCCTTATGTGCTTATTTAGTCCAAATATGTTTACCAAACCAAGGCTAAATTTTTCTAACATTCATTTTTAGTTTGATATTTTATCAGATGTTAAAAAATATATATGTATTAATTATAACAGAGTGAAATGATTTCGAAGACAAATTATAAATTTTAAAATTTAATACATTAATAGTAGATTAAACGGCATAAATTGATACGAATTAATGTAATATTGACGAAGTAAATAATATTTTACACAATCTAATGAGACTACGATTACATAGGGTCCCGAACCAACAAATAATTTTTCCAGACAATGACATAATTTTGTTAGACCCAATTGGGTTTGGGCTATTTCTTTTACCTTGGATGAAATAATCCACTTAACATTGGGGTCAACTCAAATAAATTATAGGGCATAATGGGAAGGCGTTGCGAAGACAGTACAAAAGTTAATCCCAGTTTGCGGGTTCAAATATTTTTTTATGGTATGTCATTATATTTACTTAATATTTTTGATTAATCATGTGATATCAAAAATTTGTATTATTAAGTAATAAATAAAAAATTAGTGTTACATTGTGAAGAAATTGTGTATTATTGATATCACATAATAATATCATTAATTCATTATTGATGACTAATTAATTTCATTTATAATTCTTATTGACAGATGATAACATACAAATTAGTATTACATTACACTTAACATTTTTTAGATGACAAGGCTATAGAATGTTTATTAAATTCATATTTGATTTGCAATTTAATAATTTTTAAAATATATTTAAGTTATATTTATTTACTTTTTCAGATCTAAAATGAATTTTAATTTGAGCTTCCTTTATTTTTGCGAGTTACATTACATGGGCCTGTGTACCCTTAAACACTGAATTTGTTTGGCTACAACCAGTTCGGGTCGGGTTGCGGGTAAACCTCCAATTCCATTGGCGCACCCGACCCGCCCGCATTTACTTCCCCACCCTTTTCCCCTGTATTGCTGCCCCCTTTTTTTCATTTCAGATTTGTAGCCCTAGTTCTTCGACAAGACTGTCTCTCTCTCTCTCTCTCTCTCTCTCTCTCTCTCTCTCTCTCTCTCTCGCGAGCGACGAGCGGCGATCGGCGACTGTGGTGGCTAGCGACGATCGGCGATCGGCGATCGGTGACAGTGGCGGCGAGCAGCGATCGAAGCATCGATTCGAAGGTTTTCTTCTCTTCTCTTCTTCTCTTTGATGGATCTTCTCTTCTCAACCTTTTCTGTGAGTGTGTTCTGTGTTCTGTGTTTTTTTTTTTTTTCCCAGTAATTAGGGCTTCGGCTTAAATTAATCATGTAGAAATACAGATATGCTCATTTTCTTATCACTATGTTCTTCATTTGGTATATCAACATGATGCAAAATCTTCTGATTAAGATGACACAAACATGTTGTTTGTATTAGATATATATAAATGAGTTTTCAACATCTATAACAGCTGGTCCAACCTTTTGTAGGGAAGAAAAGTGTGTCCAAATACACCTGGAAATTGAGGTGGGTTTTGTCTGAAACTCATAACACACACACATATCAATATATTTATATATATGCAATAGAATATATAAAATGAGATAGAGACTCCAGTGAGACTAAATAATGCTTTATTATTATTATTATTATTATTATTATTATATTCCTTTTAAAATAATACTAATAATAAATTCAATTGTGTAAAAGATATATAGAAAAAATAAATAAATTCAATTGCGTAAAAGATATATAGAAAAAATAAAGAGGTAATCAGTGTGTTTAGTTTCAATTTTTTGACAAAATTTTTGAATTATTAATTAAAAATTTATCTGACAAAAAATATACGAAAAAATGTTTTAGATTATCAATTTTGAATTATTAAACCAACTACAAATGGGTTATAAATCATATCTATTCTATTATTAAAAGCCAACACCAATTTTGGTGTCATGAAGCCACTTCTCAAATTTTTTTTCCAATTTTCCCTAAAATGTCCTTAACTTTTTACACTTACATCAGTTTTAATTAGGGATAAAATGATAAATTAAAACATTCAATTTCACTTTCTCACTTTCCACTCTCCACGTCTCCTTATTGCTGAAAAGTTCTGAATCAGTTACTCCCCACGTCTCCAAACTGCTGTGCAGTTAAATTAGTATCAACGTCTTCACCGAAAAGTTCTAAAAAAACATACTTTTCATGAAACTGCATCTGTTTTGATGGATGCTAGGCAGAGTCTCTTTCGAAAGTGTCCCTACAAATATATGGATGCGGATTGATTTTCTCCAATCCGCCAATCCATTGGACGGATGGCTGATTGGAGGTTCCGTGGCCGCAACCGATCCGCGCCCACCCCTACAACTTGTTAGTTGTCTGGCACGGGAACTGAATGCAATAGTCATGTTTGGCTACACACATATACTATCCTGCACTAGACCCAAGAACACGTACTTTCGGAAAATTATTAGGTACTTTTTGAAATCATTATTTATTATGCCTTTTTATGTTATTCAATCATCTAATACAAAATCATACTTTCCAGATCTCTAAAACCTCATCTCATTGAGTTTGGATCTTCTACTTGACTTCCCTCCGGTGCTCCTTATGAAGGACGATTTAAATTGGGCCACGTCTCTCGCTCAAAAATGAGCGACTGGAATCTACTCCATTTGAAAAAAAAAAAAAATTCTAAAACTGAACTGGAGTATCAAAATAGTCAATACAAAAGATTGAACTCAGCATTCAAAAAAAACTAAAACCAAAAATCATAACCCAACCAAAAAAAATCAAGAGTTCAAAAGGATTTATGTGAATTAACCCAACAAAAGTAATCATAAAGCCATCAAAAATACCAAAATACTCTCATCTAGATCCATTCAACTTTTTTAGGGAAAAAAAGAAGAACAAATCTGCAATCAATGGCATTGAAATCCAAAGAGAGGGTCGACCAAAAATAACTAAAAAAAATCCAAAAAGAGGGAAGTGGAAATAACCAAACACAAATCACAATCCAAACCCATAACACAACAAACATACAATTTTAAACACACATACATATATATATATATACATATAAATGTATATACCCAAATCTTGTAAAATAAGAGAGAAAAAAGAGAGCAGAAAGCAGTGGAAGAGAGAGAGACGAAAGTGGAGAGAGGGGATTTTAAATGAAGCAGATCTCAGCCGTTCATTTTTAAGTCGGGGACGAAGCACAATTTGGGCCATCCCCCGTAAGCAGCACCGGAGAGAAGTCAAGGAGACGATCTGGACTCCAGATCATCTGTATATGCAGTCTCTCTCTCTCTCTCTTGTTGGTGCGACGAAGGACAACACGATCAGAAAATAAATTCTTCACAAAATGAAGGTCAGTTCGCAAATCTCAAATTGCTCTTTCAATTCCAAAAAATTAATTTTTGGTCTCTCAATCTTCAAAACTCATCAATTTTGTTTCGTTTTTAGCTCATTTTGTTTGGTTTGAGTGTATTCATGTTCTTGTTCTTGTGGTTTTAATGATTCACCTTATGGAGTTTAGGAATTCGAGGGTTCTAAATGTTTCAATGTAGATTCAGAGTTGTAGACTAGACATAATTGGGAATTTGATTCCTCATCAGTTCAATAGGCTTAAACGATTAATCAACTTTATAAATTTTGAAGTTAGATTCCATTCGAATTCCAGATTTCAGAAGTTCGATCATATTTGCGTTCCAGATCTTGGAAGTTTGATTATATTTTGTTAATAGTGTTTCAACACGTTGTATTTGGCTACACATCAACTATATCAGTTGATGTCAAAAATTAGGAATCTGATATATTGTTGTATGTTCTCTTCCAATTAGTGATGCTTAAAGCCTATGCTTTCATTTTCGCCACAGAACGGGATGGAAGGTTTTCTATGGACTTTTGAATGGCCAAAGCTCTTAGTAAGAAATACCCTGCAAACTTATCAGTGTCTTCAACATGTCACAATTTGGGTGCTACTTGAATTAAACCAATGATTTTTTGGTTTAAAAAAGTTGCACAATCCATGAGTCGTAGAGTCATTCCCTATCGGATCAGACATTAACAAAATGTCTTTTTAATAAATATTTTGTTGTATGCCGTCATGTCTTTGAAGCTGCTTGTTTGAAACGAGTATTAAGGATTTTAAGTTCAAAAATTGGATGAGATGAGGAATGTAGAAAAGAAAAATATGAACTCACATTTGCATATGTATTATATATATAGCAGGCACCATTTCAATATCCCATTTGGACGCCGAATGATCAACTTTGAGCCAAACTTCAAACTACTAAATGGTCTAGAAGGAGCTTTTGCAGGACTGCTGATCTTCTTTGTTTTCCAATTTTTTTTATCATTTGATTCTCAAATCTAGTCACAATAACTTTCCCACTCGAGGAATCTGAAAATTTCCAACTAAGTAAATGAATATGGCCATCTCTTCCACGCCCACTTCATTTTCCAAATCCCTAAAGCCCTCCCTTCCAAAAGCTAGAGTCTTCAACCTCCTTAAAACTCCTCCCAATTCCCACCTCCGCTACACCCTCAATCTCAAACCTCCACCTCCCCGGCTCCTCTTCCGCATTGGCAACCCCAAATCCAAATCCCAATTCAAGTCCCACCACAGTCCGATTCGTTCCCTCTTTACTGGCATTGTGGAAGAAATAGGCAAGGTCAAGCAGCTGGGTTCCGACGATGACGGCGGATTCACCATGACAATCCATGCGAAGACTGTCCTTGAAGACGTCAACCTTGGTGATAGCATCTCCATCAATGGTACCTGTCTTACAGTCACCCATTTCGACACTCAATTATTTGAATTCACTGTCGGATTATCGCCTGAAACACTCAGAAAAACGTCGCTGATTGAGCTCCAAATGGGCTCATTGGTCAATTTGGAGAGAGCATTGAAACCATCAACCCGAATGGGAGGGCATTTCGTTCAAGGCCATGTTGATGGGACAGGTGAAATTGTGTCCACTGAGCCGGAAGGCGATTCGTTGTGGGTGAAGGTGAAGACAACACCGGAGTTGTTGAAGTATATTGTGCCAAAAGGGTTCATAGCTGTGGATGGGACTAGTCTGACTGTTGTGAAGGTTTTTGATGAAGAGGAGTGTTTTAATTTCATGCTAGTGGCTTACACTCAGCAGAATGTGGTGATTCCATTGAAGAAAGTTGGGCAGAAGGTGAACTTGGAGGTAGACATTCTTGGCAAGTATGTGGAGCGGCTTCTCAATAATGGGGTTGTCAATGCCATCAAATGAAAAGGTATCACAAGATTTATTTATGCTTTGTCAACTTAATGTGGCATTTCGGTTCAATGTTATGGATGATCAATGTGCTTCACAAGGTGATATGAACACGAATTGAAATTTTGAAGTGTTGATTACTATTAGATATTTCAATATGAATTTGAATTTGGTGATGTTGATATTTATGGCATTTGTGTGATGTTTGTGGACTTGCACTAGTTAGACTTAGCTTTAGAAGAGGAAAACATTAGATAGAAAGAAACAAAAAAATGAAAAAAAAGAAAGAAAAAAAAGAAAAGAAAAGGAAATGGGTAAGGATTTACAACCTCACCCTTGGTTTCCTAGTATTTGTCAGTCTCTAGAGCTAGATATGGTTTTCTAACAACCTTCTTTCTTTTTAAGTAGTAACAGTCCAATTCTAATTTCTGTTCCCAAAATCCCATCAGAGACTTTTGCTTGACTGCCTCCTGAAAGGCCTTTCTGGAGACTTGCAGTTTGTTAAGGATTAATTACATGATATAGAGAAGTTAGATTTCACCTTTTTGTGTGTTTTTTTTAATGTTCTTCAATTATATTTATTTTTTTGCTTTGTTTTGTTTTGTGTTTTGTGTTTTGTGTTTTTTTTTTCTCTAGTGGGTTTTGCTCTTTCTCTTGTGCAGGATGTAGTTAGACAGGTTTGTCTATCCTTTCTTGCCCCTTAATTCTTTTGATTAAAATTTAAATTTAAGGGTAAAACCATCACGACCATTAAAAAAAATGATTAAGCTTCCAAACAATTTTCCGTGTGTGACATCAGCCGTTATGCTAGGACTTCATTGTATAAGTTCATGTAGATAGACTTTACACTAAATATTTCATTTTTTTTTCCAAAAAAATCACCTTCAATGGAGCATACTCAAGATTCAGTAGTTAGCTAATTAATCTAATCTAAATTATGACTTTTTAATTTGAGTTTCAACTGTTAGGTGATGTGCACTATCAAATGTATACTTCATAGAAGATTCCTTGACAAATTTTCAATTTAAGTATGTGATGGGATTAGATTAGTGAACAACCTCCAAGTCTTCTACCAAAGTTGATAACAAAAAGAAGGATAAACAAGGTCTGCTACTATGCTAGATTCACAATATCATAGCATTTGAAAGAGAGAGGTTGAGGTTCCAAAAACTTATCATTGACATATTGATAACTGTAGTTGCAATTTATTATGGGTGATGACAGTGATTTGTTATTGACAATGACTTTTGGTTTAGAGAAAATAAGGATTAGGGCAGGTTGCTTCTATTATAATATGTAACAGGTTTTAATTTATAGGATATGCTGTGATTAATATTGGCATGTGTAAGAATTTTATTAATTTTTTTTTTAAACTTTATTTAATTTGAATGCTCATTGAACGGTAGTAGGGCCCTTCATTTATAAATATCTCAATGGGACATTAAGTGGTTGTCACCCTCACAAAAACATCATGGAAACAAACAGTGATGCCTGCGATATAAGAATCCATATTTATATCCATATTTAGTAGTTCAACTATTGTTTGTGCCATTGATTTAAAGGCTATTATGTTAAATGAGGAGACATAAAGTGATATAATGGAAGTAGTAAAAAAAACATTGATGTACCCGGCACTTCTGATAATCACAAAGAATTTTCGTATGGTTTAATAAAAAAATTATCATGGTTAATTGTCTGGATAACAATAATTAAGCCTGGACACTTTAGTTGCGATGGCATCTTTTGGTTTCCACTTATCGCATTATCTTAATTCTGAGTCAAATCAGTACATAAATCAATGATTATTGTTAATCATGATTATTATCCATCCTTTTACCTTCTCCAACTGAAAAATGGTTATGAACTTGTGATTATGAAGCCACACCCTAAAGCTATGGTTCAAATGTTAATGGTTCCCTCACCTTTTGATCCATCAATAGTTTGGTCTAGTATTCTATTTTTTATTTTTGTAACAAATTCCTCTCGTTTAATCATTACCAAAATTACTCATTGCTCTGTCCAAGCGCTCCATAGTGTTGGCCAGACCTTGTCTGTTGTTAGTCCAGGTAAGTCTAGGACCTACACTTCCCAGGTCAATGAGGTTGCAGTTGTTTATTCGTTCTCTAAACCTCTGTGCTCTGGTAAAGTTGTGGTTGGGTGTAAAGCTCCTTCTTTCACTGTGATCAGTGAAATTGTTGAAATCTCCAGCAACTAGCCAGGCCTGGTTCATGTTGGTAGCTGTCCTTTCCAGCTCCTCCCAAAAAATTTCTCTTGTTACAGGGTTGGGACTAGCATAAACTGCAGATAATACCCATTCTTCATAGTCTTCCTTATGGATGGTGGCATGGATATATTGGTTAGAGACAGAGGAAGTATGGACATTGACATGAGCTGTATCCCATAGCAGCCAGATTTCCCCCATTCTGCCTATTGGATCTACCACAGTGGAAGCTGAAAAGCCCAAGTTATTGAAAAAATTCCGAAGGGAACTAAAGGTTACTTTCGTTTCCATAAAGACAAGAATTTCAGGTTTGTGGGCTCGAAGGAGCTCCCTTAAGTTACGCTTCACTACAAGAAAATCAAGCTTTAGCAGCGTTTTTTATTGCAACGGTCTGAAAAATGCTGCTATAAATAGGCTATTGTAACGGTTATTGACCACAACTAAAAAAAAAATTTTTAGTAACATTTTTTTCTTGAAACGCTGCCATAAATTTTTTTATAGTAGCGGTTTGTACGCAACCGTTACAAAAAGCCAAGAAAAATAAAAAGGCCCGCCAAAACAAATCTGATTTCGCGCGGAATAACATATTAGAATTTGTGGGTGAATAACATATCAGAATTTCAGTCCAAACAAAAAAACCGTTCAACTCACAATTTGTGCCCTAGTTTATCAATACTTCTTTTGCGAAATATCAGAGCATTTGTTCATCCTCCCCCGCAGCGTATTGACGACGTCAAGCTATAACATCACTGTGATTTCAAGGTCAGTTTGCTGTCTCTGTTTGTCTTTCTCTATCCCTCTCTTTCTTCTGGTCTCTCGGTTTCTCTCCCTTCCGTTCTCTCTTTCTTCTACTGTCTTGGTTTTTCTTTTTCCCTTACTGTCTTCGGACAAGTTTGGGTCAATGTAATTCATTGTTGAGATGAGACTTGCCATTCCATTCATTGCTTCTAATATCTCCAAAACTTCTCTACTTTGAAGGATTTCATGAACATCTTGAATGATTTTGATTTGGGAAAATAATTTACGAAATAGATTGATTAACACGTTCTATATTTTGATTATGATATACACACACACACACATATATATATATATATTTGATCATCTATAATATTCATATTTTAACCAATATAATTAGTGAAGTGAATGGATTGTTGTTGATGCGACACAATAAAATCCCATGCTTGTGGAATCATTATGTATGCTAGGTGTTTGATAAAATGCCACAATGGAATAATAGTGCCTATCTTTTTGTTTATTGGTTTGTTCTGCTTCTCTCTCTCTTTTTTTTTTTTTTTCTTTTTTTGTTTTTTTGGTTGAGAAAATTGTTGTCTATGAATTTAATGCAGTTTGTAATGTTTTGTTGGCTTAATAATGTAATTATAGAAAATTGTTGCCTCTTTTTATTGTCATTGCTTCTTGTTTATGAAAGTGTTCATGCATTACACCATGAGATAAATAAGCAAAGATGCAAGTTTTCTGGAATTTATTGTGTCCTTGTGTTTGTGTTGTGTCATGTTTGTGTCCCATTCTCTGTGTATGCTACGTAGATATGTGTGTCTATCAGGGATTATGATTGAAGATGGTGACACAAACACACACATCATTTGCAAACCACCTTAATAATGGCCGTTGAGCATTCACGGTTTTAGTGTTGTTGTGGGATCTAATAGTAACAGTGACGTAATGTACCACTGATTATCATATTTTGTATTAAAATTGGCTTGTTAAAGCTTTTAAAAATAATGGTCACCAAAAGTTTCTTTGCTACTTTCCAATCTTTTTCTTTGTTACATAAGAATTCTTCATACATTACAGGGGTCGAGGATAATTCCTTTTCTTTATTTCATTTTCTTCTGCTAATTTTATTTTGTACAAGTTGTAGTTCAGGTAGAGAAGCTAAAGTGACTTCTTGACTGATGTTGAATTGGCACTAACATTGTATTTAATTTCTTCCAAGTTATTTTTGTGATGGACTCTGAACCTTTTCCAGATTGTTTTAGGTTGAATGTAGTCTAAACTTTGAATTGGTTGTGGATTGGTCACCTTGACCCATATAACTATCATTAATTGGTTACTGTCTTTTTAGTACTTCATGTATCATTGTTAAGTCTTCTTTGCCATTTTGTTATATCATAGATACAAGAGAAGGAATAATCTGTCTGGGCTTCAGCCCTAAACTGTTTATTTTGTCTGTGATAGAGGCAAAATCCGGAGGAAGAAGCTAGAAGGACTTGACATAAGGGTAATTCATTTTCCCCTGCTCAGTATTGTATTTTCTGTGCAAGTACAATTTTGTGTGTTCTTTATTATGAGGAGCTTCAAATTGATGAGAAATCACTTTTGATGATGTTTACTCTAGGTGCCAACTATTGAAAACATAAATAAAAATTATTATTATTTAATAATTTATTCATGTTTTTGGCTGTTGATGGATGCTACAAGCTTGTGTATCACACAGATGCCCATTTTTAGATAAATGATGGAACAAAAGGTTTTATATGAGTAGCTTATCAAATATTTTTAATGTAGTTTTATACAACTGAAAATGCTTGCTTGGTTTTCCTACTTGCTGTTGCGATCTCTATTATTAGCCACATTTGAGCATGGGGGGTGGCTTGTCATCAGACTTTTGTTTTAATTGCAGCTTTTAGGAATTTGAACCTGAACAAAGTTTTTGATTTTGACAATTCAGGGAATTTAGTTGACTTATATTCAGGTAATGATTGTTTTTTATGTTTTCTTAATGAAATCTTAAGAAAAGTGAAATAAAGAATGAGGACAAGTTTGATATTTTACCATTATACTGCCACAACTGATCTCCCTTTAGTGATGCTAATGAGAATCTGCTACAGTTTCTAATCATGTATTTTTATTGACTATTTATCATTGTTTGAGCTTGTTTGTTTTGTATTGTGCAATAGTTTCTACATAGTCAGTAAATTTTTTTGTTCTATGCTTCTATTGAACTTCATGTACATCAACATCTCCATTGAGTTTTGGGTTTAACTTTCTTTTTTTTTCATCTACCTGAAGGTGGGTAAGGTTCTTCTAGAGGTTGGCAGGAGAAATTCTTGGGCGGAACTTGTTGGCAGCAAGCTTATTTGCATGCTAACCAACATGTTTTATCAAGTTCCTAACATAACTGTTTCGTTCTTCTTTTTGGGTTTTCAGCTTTAAAAACTCAAGTAGTCTCTATTTTTTTTAAGTTGGATTTTAGATGCTTTTTTAATGTTGTTTTTTTTTATTATTTAATTGGACACAAATGGAGCCTACTGTTGTTCGATTGTTATTGAAAAACCCTCTTAGCTAATTCAATTGTTAATTTTCTGATTGCTCAACCCTGTTTGATCTCTTGCTATTGTTGTTGTTGTTGTTGTGTCTTTTTTTTAGAAAGTAATTTGTAGACATTATATTGATCAAATTGCTAATAGTTTAATTGGAGTTGCTTTTTATTTTTGGCCATTGAATTTATTTATTATTTACAATATGCCAGTTTTGATATGTAAACCACATACTTACCAAAAAAATAAGACTTGTCAAGAACTATTTGTAGTCTAAATTTTCTTTATAGATTTTGAAATTGAAAATGATACTTATGCTCATTCAATCATTTTTATTGCAGGAAAGAAGACAATATGAAGCATCAAACAATGGATGTCATTTCTCGATTTGAACATTTTTTATGGAGGTCTTTATAAAATGGCGTCATGAGTAATACTTTTGAGTACTATTGTAATGTGACAAGTTTATATATACCTTTTAGATTATGGCGTGGCCTATTAGTTTGCTAGAAATATTGGATCTATTTTGCATTACAAGCTTATGTAATGAACCTTTTAATTATGGTGTTTTGTATATTTTGGAATTATGAAAATGCAGACTCTTTTACCTTTTACAATTATTGAATATTGAGCTATTAGAATAAAAAAGTGTTTTTATAGATATATAATATGAGTAGGGATAAGTGAGAGACAACCATTAATGGTTAGCAAATCATTAAAAATTTTAAGTTATATATTATTGGTAATTGAATAGTAAACGTAGCCTACAACCGCGGCTAATAACTGTTGCTGCAAATAAAATTCAAAAAGAATTCTATGGCTATAGCGACAGTGTAAAACTGATGGAATAGAGTCAAAATATAGCAGCAGTTCACAAAATGTCGCAAAAGTGAAGGACATACAAGCAATCGACCTGTCGCTATAAAGTTAGCGAGTAATGGGTAAATTTAAGATATAGCGACATTTATAACTGTCACTACATCGATCGTCGCAATAAAAATAACTATACCAGCGTTTGAGGACAACGTCACTATAAGGATATGCCGACGGGGCTATTGCGGCGGTTTGACTGCCACTATTTCAACCGCGGGTAAAGGTTTTCTAATTTTTAGCGACGCTTTTTTCTGCTTTTAGCGACAATTTTGGCCACTGCTAAAAGTGAAATTTTTTGTAGTGAGGCCACAGACTTGCCTGCCCAGCAGCAACTTTAGGCCAACTTTTGGAGGGTCAAATGTTGTCTTTTTGCTTTGTAATTTTTTATGTAAATACCTTAGTATTAAAGGTGTTTCGGGTGCAGTATTGTAATTTTTATCTTTTTGTAATTTTTTTTAAAAATTCATTATGACTCCTCAAATATAATGGATGTTTCCTTTTGCCAACTAGGAAATGGCTTGACAAACTATATTAGGGAGGGGGTATCCCAGTGTTGAACCAAACCACTTGTGCGTTTAAAGTACCCCAACCTAGCCAATGGTAAGACACCTTTTGTAGCATTTTTGGTGTATTGTTCAACTATTTTAATGCTTACTTTTGATCAATGAAAAGTTCATTTCGCCTTTAAATTGTGCAAAGCTTTTTCATTATTACTTGCTTTAATTTTAGCTTGTTGTTTGTTATTTTGTGGCTCGTCTCCAATCTTGTGGCTCATCAACTTAACTAATATTGTGTTTGCTTGTCTTTGCAAACCTTTTAAGCTTTATTAGCGGGCTAGTGAAGAGAGTTAACTAGCGCCACACACACTTGCATATCTTTGACAAGGCTTCCGCATTGCCGGTGTGCGACAGTTGGTATCAGAGCCCAGTCTATTTGGCTTTCTCTATTATTGGCTTTCTAAATGGATACTTTGGCAATCGTCAACCCATGCAAAGGGAGAGAATTGAGCTCTTAGAGCAGCGTATGGACAATATGGATGCCTTGGCAGCTTCATTAGCCAACCTTGAGCAACGGATTCATGATCTTAAACAAACTTATGGCCTCACTCAATGGCAAGATTGGGAGGATGTTGTCACTGAACTCAAGCTAGAGATTGAAGATCTTAATGGCCGAGTTGGTGTTCTTACTCGTGCCTTTGGCAACGCACCTGGTAGTGGCATGGAATTCCCTAGGGTGCGTGTGCCCGAGTCCGTGCCTACGGTGGCGCCCAAGATGCCAAGGAGATAGACAACTTTCTCTTCAACATGGAGCAATATTTCAAAGTTGTGAAAACTGAAGCTGAGGAGACAAGGATTTTTATAGCCACAATATATTTGTCCGGTGATGCCAAGTTGTGGTGGCGGACTAAACATGATGAGATGCAACGCGACTTACGCACAATTGAGACTTGGGAGCAACTTAAGCATGAACTTAAGCTCCAGTTCTTCCTTGAAAATGTTGAGTATAATGACCGGCGTGCTTTGCGGGATCTCAAGCACACCGGCACTATAAGAGATTATGTGAAACAATTCTCTAGGCTTATGCTAGACATCAAAGACATGTCAGAGAAAGACAAGCTTTTCTTTTTTCTTAAGGGATTGAAGCCATGGGCCAGAGTTGAACTTCAAAGGCAAAGAGTGCAAGATTTAGCCCATGCACAAGCAGCAACTGAGTGCTTTACGGACTACGCCGAACCTAAGCAATGGGATAGTGGTTCCCCGCACAAGAGTAGGGGAGGTGGAAAGTCTTAAGGCTATGGCAAACCTAAGAGTGGGGGAGCCAACACTTCTACATCCAAAACCCATTCGGGTAACAGAAGAGCTATGGTGACAAGGCAAAAGCCCCTCAACAGTTCTCTACAAGCAAAGCAAAGGGCCGTATCTCTTGTTTCTTATGCAATGGGCCACATCGGTTATCTGAATGTCCACAAAAGCATGCCTTGAATGCTTTAGCAGCGATGACTAACCATGTCTCTCAACCAAGTGACGATGATAGCAAGGAAAAAGATGTGCAGTCTAGGCAAAGTGGTAAGGGTTTTAAGGGTCTAGAGTAGGAGCCTTTCATATGATGAATGCCATGGAGAAGAAGGCTTTTATAAGGAGGCCTAAGAAGAATGCCAAGAGTGGCAAAGTGGGAAAGCATTCAGATCCTAAACAACTTGTGGAGTCTAAAGATGCAGGCAAAGGGAAGAAACTCATGTATAGTGGGGAATCATCAGGCAAGTTGATTAAGAGCAAGTCATCCAACAAAGGTTTGATGTTTGTGGATATAAAACTCAATGGGAAGTCCATTCGTGCTTTGATTGACACAAGGGCCACCCACAACTTTGTTACAGGGATCGAAGTTGAAAGATTTGGGCTATCTTTAGAGAAGGATGGCAGTCATATCAAGGCGGTTAACTCGGTGGTGCAACCCATCTATGGGGTTGCAAAATCTGTTCATTTGAAAGTCAGCACTTAGGAAGGAAAAGTAGATTTCACCGCAGTACCCATAGATGACTTCCAAGCCATCCTTGGGTTGGATTTCTTGAGAAGCTCAAAGTCGGTAGTCATGCCTTATTCTAATAGTATGTGTGTTATGGGGGATAAGCCATGTCTTATTCCTACTACGGCCACTAACAACAGTAATCGATTTGTCTCAGCTATACAACTCAAGAGGGATATTAGGCATGGTGAACAAACTTGTGTTGCCGCATTGAAGTTGAATGAAGCTCTTGAATCTATTTCTGCCCTAGCTGTAGTCAAGAAGGTCTTAAGGCAATTTGTAGATGTTATGCCTGAACAGTTGTCTAAGGATTTGCCTCCATGCCGAGGTATGGATCATGCTATTGAGTTGGTGCCAGGGGCAAAGCCACTAGCTCGTGCACCATATAGAATGGCTATTTCTGAGTTGAATGAATTAAGGAAGCAACTTACAGAGTTATTGGAATTAGGCCATCGAAGGCCCTATTTGGTCCACCTGTCTTATTCCAAAAAAAGCATGATGGTAGTCTTCACTTATGTGTGGATTATCGGGCACTCAATAAGCTGACCATTAAGAACAAGTATCCCCTTCCCCTAATTGCTGATTCATTTGATCAATTGAGCAAAGTGAGGTATTTTACAAAGTTAGATCTTCGACCGGGGTACTATCAAGTAAGAATTGATGAGGGAGACGAGCCCAAAACTACATGTGTTACTCACTATGGCTCTTATAAGTTCTTAGTCATGCCATTTGGCTTGACCAATGCCCCAGCAACATTTTGCACCATGATGAATGAAGTTTTTCAAAGAGTACTTAGACCAATTAGTGGTAGTATACATGGATAACATTGTGATTTATAGCTCTACTTTAGAAGAGCACGTGAAACATCTCAAGAAAGCACTATCCAAGTTGAGAGAGCACAAGCTTTATGTTAAGCTAGAGAAGTGTTCTTTTGTCCAAGAGAGGATTAAGTTCCTAGGGTACATTGTTGAGCATGGATGCATCAAAATGGACCAAGAGAAGGTCAAGGCTATTCAAGAGTGAAAACCACCTGCTAATGTCTCAGAGTTGCGGTCATTCCTTGGGTTGACTAATTATTATTACAAGTTTATTGAAGGCTACTCAAGACTAGCTTCCCCATTGACAAAGTTACTAAAGAAGAGCAAGTCCTATGTTTGGGTGAACGGAAGAGTGTCAACAAGCCTTTTAAGCCTTGAAAGAAGCTATGTCTAAAGACCCTGTTCTTGCTTTACCTGACTTAGGTAAAGCTTTTGAGATACAAACTGATGCATTTGATTTTGCTTTGGGTGGTGTTCTTTTGCAGGATGGTCATCCAATTGCCTATGAGAGTAGGAAGCTCAATGATGCCGAACGGAGATATCCGACTTATGAGAAAGAGTTGCTTGCAGTAGTGCATTGTTTGAGGACTTTGAGGCACTACATCTTGGGCTCACGGTTGTTATAAAGACTGACAACACGGCGGTTGGCCATTTCTTAACACAGCCCAAGCTGAGCGTACGACAAGCACGGTGGCAAGAGAAGTTGACAGAGTTTGATTTTGCCTTAGAATACAAGATTGGTGGCACCAACCATGTTGCTGATACACTAAGTAGGTAGGCAGAGCTTGCCGTGTGCCATCATGTATGTTCACTCATTTCCATTTCAACCAGCATCAAGAAGAAAATCAAGGCTCATCTAGACAAGGATCCTATGGCAGAGAATCTTATGAACCTTGTCAAAATGGGAAAGACTCGCCAATTTTGGGTGCAAGATGGACTACTAATGACAACAGGCAACTGCATCTTTGTACCCAGGGCTGGTGATTTGAGAAAGACACTTCTTAGGGAGTGCCATGATACACTTTGGGCAGGACATCCGGGTTGGGAGCGAACATTGGCCTTGGTGAAGCAAGGATATTATTAGCCCCGAATGCGTGATAATGTGGAAGAATATGTCTACATTTGTCTCACTTGCCAGCAAAACAAGGTTGAGCATAAGAAGAAAGCAGGCTTGCTTGAACCTTTGCCTGTGCCTAAATGTTCATTGGAAAGTGTATCACTTGACTTCATCACTAGACTGCCTAAAGTGGTAGACATCGAAACTATCTTGACTATTGTGGATCGGTTCTCCAAGTATGCCACCTTTGTAGCTGCCCCAAAATATGTTTCAACGGAGGAGACTGCCCAACTCTTCTTCAAGCATATTGTTAAATATTGGGGTGTGCCTAAAATTATTGTTAGTGATCGAGATTCACATTTCGTTGGCAACTTCTGGATAGAGTTATTCAAGCTTCTTGGGTTACAACTTAACACTTTATCAAGTTACCATCTGGAGACGGATGGGCAAACTGAACACTTCAACCGTATGCTCGAAGAGTATTTGCGCAACTTTGTTAATGCTAATCAACGAAATTGGGTGCAACTTCTTGATGTAGCACAGTTATGCTTTAACTCTCAAAAGAGTAGCTCTATGGGAAAAAGTGCTTTTGAGATAGTGAATGGACAGCAACACATTGTTACCCCACACAGTGGATGGACCTTATGAAGGAAAGGCACCCAAGGCTTACCAATTTGCTAAGGAATGGAAGAGAAATCATGACATTACTCGTGCCTATCTTGAAAAAGCATCAAGTAAAATGAAGAAATGGGCTAATAAAAAAAGGAGGCCATTTGAGTTTAGAGTTGGGGATCAAGTTCTTGTCAAACTCAACTTTGAGCAACGCAAGTTCATGAGGGGAAGAGACAAAAGGCTAGTGCGCAAGTATGAGGGACCGGTAACCATTCTGAAGAGAATTGGCAAGTGTGCTTACAAGATAGATGCTCCATCTTGGCTGAAAGTGCACCCGGTTTTCCATGTAAGTTATTTGAAGCCTTACTATCCAAACAAGGAAGATCCAACCCGAAATGAGCTGAAACGCCAAACCATCATAGCTAAAGCAGGAAAAAATTCTATTGAATCTATCTTGGCCGATCGGGTGAAAATGGTTTCCAAGAAGAAACAAAGGCAGTACTTGGTGAAATGGAGAGGCCTTGGGGATGAAGAAATCAGCTGGGAACGGGAGACAGACTTGTCGGCTTTTCAAGACGAGATTGATGCTTATTAGGCAAAGTCGTCGAGGATGTCGACCGTTCAAGTGGGGAAGACTGTCAAGGTGCACCCATCCAAGGGTCAACACCTTGATGACACACTCATTTGTGCCATTTGGAGAACCAAAAACATGCCCAAGAAGTTGTTGGTGCAAGTGCAAGCCAAAGCCCAAGGCATGGTGCAAGACAACCCAAGGCATGCCATGAAGTAGCCCAGCCACAGCAAGCCACAGACTTGTCTGCCCAGCAACAACTTTAGGCCGTTGGAGGGTCAAATGTTGTCTTTTTGCCTTGTAAGTTTTTATGTAAATACTTTAGTATTAAAGATGTTTTAGGTCCTTAAACACCATTATGAATTTTTTAAAGGTGTTTTTCCTTGTAGAATTTTTTAAAAATCCATTATGACTCCTCAAACATAGTGGATGTTTCCTCTTGCCAACTAGGAAATGGCTTAACAAGCTATATTAAGGAAGGGGTACCCAAGTGTTGAACCAAATCACTTGTGCCTTTAAAGGACCCCAACCTAGCCAATGGTAAGACACCTTTTGTAGCACTTTTGGTGCATTGTTCAACTATTGTAATGCCTACTTTTGATCAATAAAAAGTTCATTTGCCTTTAAATTGTGCAAAGTTTTTCTATTGTTGCTTGCTTTAATTTTAACTTGTTTGCTATTTTGTGGCTTGTCTCTAATCTTGTGGCTCATCAACTTAATTAATATTATGTTTGCTTGTCTTTGCAAACCTTTTGAGCTTTATTGGCAGGCTAGTGAAGAGAATTAACTAGCGCCACACACACTTGCTTATCTTTGACAAGGCTTCCGCATTGTCGGTGTGTGACACCTTGCCCTTGCCCACCTTGTTGAACACCACCACTCAAAACCGGTGGAGTCCTAACTTTGAATTGCTCAAGTCTCGATGTCTTTTCTTGTTCAACTCCACCACGAGGCGAGGACCCAAAACTCAAGCTTCTCTGCATGGTTTGAGCTTTTCTACCATGCCTCTGTGACAAAACTCCCTCAAATTTCTCATACAACTTTGCGAATTCATCATGCAGCCCTGGAAAGCTTTTCTTGAAGAATTCCCTTCTTTCCATATAAAGCTCTTTGAAAATTTCCAGCAGCCTTGGATCCACTGATTTTCCTGACCTCTATCGGATCAAAATGTTGAGAGATCGCTTTCTTGTAGCATAAAATAATGTTTTCGGTGAGTTTTTAATGGAGTTGATGATGAACCATAGAGGCCTTCCATAGACATGTTTTGTTCTAAAATGGATGTGTTTAGGGTGTGTTTGTTTTGAAAGATTAGGGGGTGGAATTGGACTATTAGTCCCATCGGATTAATAGTCCATTGTTTGTTTCATTTTTTTTACTCCGAACTAATAGTCCCCCCGGACTATTAGTCCCACAAATATGGGACTATCCTATCCCATGGGGGAGGGTGGGATAGAAACCATGTGATTGGTATCCCATGGGATTATTTTGTGAAATATCCATTTTACCGTCCATGCTATTACCTACCAAACAATTAGAAAATGATAAAATAGTGTTTTGAACATTTATAAATTATTTTTTTAGTGTTGTTAATTTAAAATTATATATTAAATAAAAAATATAAATTATAAATTAAATTTATTTAAAAATAATAAATTATAAATTATGGCCTTATAAATTAAATTTTTTTAGTGTTGTTGAAAATTTAATTTATATATTAAATAAAATTATTTTTTATTGTCGTTAATTTAAAATTATATATTAAATAAAAAATATAAATTATAAATTTAATTTAATTGAAAATAATAAATTAAAAAATTAAAATATTGTGCAAAAAATAAAATAAAACAAATTTTTATTTAATCTAGTTAAAAATAATTAAAATATTAAAGCTATGTTTAATATTGTTATTACTTAGTAAATAATTGAAAAGGATAAAATAATCATTTGAGTATTTATCCTACTCCATAATATCCCAAACAAATATTGGATAACTAAAAATAGTCCAATCCAGATATTTAATCCCATGACTAAACAAACATAGGATACAAATTTAGTCTAACCAAATAGTCCCGGGACAATGTATCCCAGGACTAATAGTCCGATGAATTACAATCCCCCCTTATCCAGTCTGTCTAAACAAACACACTAGGCCATGTTTGTTTGGGCGGACTGGATTAGCATTCCCATGACTAATAGTCCTAGGACTACGATCCGTTGGATTATGTATCCTATCTTAACTAATAGTCAAGTTTAAAATAATTAGTTCGTACTTCAATTGTTTAACCAAACACCGGATTAATAATTTTATTGGACTATTAGTCCAATCCTAAACTCATGTCCACACAAACAAACATGACCTTAGAGTTTAGATTGAAGGGTCGATAGGAGATAAGTTTGTTTTTTTGGTATATATATTTAGCTCTGTTTTGGGTTATATATATATATATATATAGTGGTGAAACATGTTGAATAATCAAACTATTTATGAGCAATTTTCAACATAGTTGTCAAAGAATCTCCCAAACAATGTTATGCTGAGTCATCAATGACCAACACTATGTTGATTGAATTTGTTTATACTCAATTGTGTAAGTCAATTTAATCATGTGGCTTGCCTTTAATCCGACTGTTTCATCACTTTCCTTCTTGGAATTTTTTGTATTTATTGGAGAATTTGGGTCAATTACGGATGCTTATATAATTGTTTTTAGAAAACTTAGGTCCCACGCCTCAGTTCTTGGAAGGCTTAAATTTTTTTTTTTTAAAAAAAAAAATTTTACGGAAGGAGAGAGAGATTTATAGAATAAGAAAAAGAATAGGAGAGGCAACTGGTTTTGATTAATCAGTTTTGTTGGGGACTTCGATTGATTTGGTTTTGATTAGTTAGTTAGAACATCTCCAATAAAAATATATTTGTATGTTAATGTGTTTCGTAATAAAAAATGATTAGTTAGTTAGAACATCTCCAATAAAAATATTTTTTTATGTTAATGTGTTACATAATTAAAAGTAATAAAGTGAAATCTAACTTTGAATACCTTAAGGCCGTGTTTAATTCACAAGATCAATAGTGAGGTATTAATAATCCTATTAAATTAGTGTGGTATTCACTATCCAATTGGATTAATAGGATAAATTATCCATTGGATTAATAATCTCACCCCTACCCCATTACTAATAATCCTACAAATTTGTTGGATTAATTATCCATTAAATTAATAATCCTAAACTAAAATGTTAAAACAAACATAAGATAATTGGACCCACGAATTAATAATCCCAATCCCATACTCTAATCCATCCAACCAAACATGCTCTAAAAGATGTATACATACATTATATATAGATAAATTTAAAATTTTTTTTTTTTTTTTTATAGTCCCCATTTTTTTTTCCCCACTCTTCTCCTCGTTCTCTCTCCTTTGTTAAACACATTTTCCCCTAACTAATGCCTCTCAACATTTCCATTGGAGCTCCTTTTGAAAGAAAATTGTGTTTCAAAATAATCTGACACTAAAGTGGATTAAGCATCTCCATTGCAGAAAGATTTGATTTTGGGGGTCTATTTTTTTGATTTTTAGTTTTGTCAGGAACAAGGGTAGGGGTGTCAAATGGATGCTTTAAAAGTAAAATTGCCGATCATTCCAATATACCCCAAAAAAAAAAATGAGTTGCCTTCGACAACAAAATTGGTTTTTTTCAACACATTGCACATTTATTCAACACAATGCACATCCGACCAGAAATCGGTCAATTAATACATTGGAATACAAAACAACTCCCAAAAAGGATAATAAAATCCTACATATGGGAAAAAGCCCAATAATCCTCTACACAACCAGATTAAAAAAAGAAAAGAAAAAGACAAAGAAAAAAGAAGCAGAATACCACTCCTGAATGAAATACACACAACCATATCAAAAGATACAGACAAGATATAGAATACATCTCCTGAATCCTAACCCAAGAATACAACATTCAACCAAAATATATACTATATATGTATATATACCATATACCCACCCTACAAAGCTCTAAACTCATGAAACTTCTTAATCAAACTGTGGAACAAGAATTACCCTAAAATTTGCTATCTATACATATTGGGTCTACGAGGGGCATCGTGGAAGGAAGGATTTGCTGGAGAACTGCCAGCTCCACTGCTACTTGAAAAGAGCCATGGCCCTTCATTAGAGGGCATTTGTGGCACCAGGTTTGGATAGAATGGGTAGTTACGGGTGGCGTATGTATTAGAAACAGCAAGACTTGTATCAATGTTTGGAGTGTTAATACATCCATTGGAATGAGTTAGACCTGTAACCAAGCTAGGCGGCACAAAGAATGGCTGGCGAGAAGAAAATCTTGACTGTGTTTCCAGTGGTGCCCAACTTGGAATTCTCGACCTGTTTTCCATGGAGAGACTGGTTGGGATGGAAAGATGTCTATCGTCATTAGAAACGCTTGGCCTGGACTCTGTCGAAGGACTGGTGACAAAATGATCAACAGCGGTCAATGCACTTCCTGCATCAGGATAGTAATTTGTCAAACTCAATCGAGGGCTTGAAGCTGCGATGTTGGCTCTAGTAGTTGCTTCTATGTTAAAATCAGATGGCACTCTGAAAAGCCCAGCATATCCAATAGGAACCTCGGGTCTGTCCCCAACAGAAGGTTGAATAGCTTTCCCAATAGACCCACTGTCTTTTGGTGGCAAGGCATTGAGTTTGTTCTTCAATGATAACTTAGCTTGATGAAGACTTCCCAGAACAGATACTAATTTATTGGGTGTTTCGCGTGGCATCAACGCATAAGGTTCATTTTTGCTCCCCGAAGTGTCTCCTTTAGAGAAATTATTGGATGTATGAGAAGGGATGTTGCGTGCTGACTGATCCCCAGTAGGACTCTCCAAGTGTTGATAGCTATGTGAAGGTGGAACACTGTAGTTTCCTGATCGTCGTTGCTCTTGCTTTGCTATAGCCACAGGGAATACGAAATCTGAAGCTGGGGATTCATGAGCAAGCATGCTGCTGGATTTTTTATACTGAATATCATCAAATTGAATTTTGGATGATTCTTTACCATTACGAACTTCTTCCACCTCGGCCTTTGGTTCTTGGTCTTCAGAGGCAATAGTCCCAACAGGGTATGGAGGAGTGTGTGCATTAGTCTCATCTCTTTCTTCAGTGATATCAGAGTGGTTCCCGGGTTCACAAAAATCCTAATGGTTCATGATCAAAATACCAGATATGTTACAATGTAGCATAATGAATTCTCACAAAAAACAAAGGGAAAGTGAACAATTTCAAACACAAATTAAAACTATGAAAAAACTGGATCATAGTTAATGGCATAAATCTACGATGCACAGACACCTCCCCAGAGGTCAGATACTGTTGTTGGACATGGACATCAAGAAGGCAACATGGATGATCATTTCAAGCCACCACTCAACCAGTATGACCGTATCCGTATCCGTGCTTCCTATCCATGTACATGGAAAATTACAATATTACTACAATGTGAATAAGTTTTTCCTGACAAGTAAATGTAACATTTACACATATGCATACAGAATGAAGACACAACAAACGCAGAAAACATCCAAAATTGTTCTGAATGAAGACAGATCAAAGGATTTATATCTGGTTGAATAAACGAGGAACTAGTGATGCCTAAATCAATCAACACTTCTCATGTCATGGTAAGGTTTTGGACAAAAGAATGAAGTGTTTATGTAGAGTGATGCTCAAACCTTAGACAAGGAAAAATTCTATGGTCTGGCAGGGCTTGGTTCCAAGATGCGAACAGTGCTCTTATTAAACCATGCCAGATCAAAAGCATATGAATGGTTTGTGAGAGAAAGGAGTTAACAAGGCATACCGGTGTACTGTTATTGTTCTCTCTGAACTTCTCTTCCCATTCTCTTTGCGCTTTTTCCTCCTCTTCATACTGCCCTATGAGTTGTGCTTGATGTTCTAGAGCTCTTTCCATGTCTTTGTCACTTCCATGTTCACCCATATAATTGCTAGCACTAGCCACCGATTTCTGATTTTCTAAATCCCCTGCAACTGAGCCTTCAAGATTGACTTTTGCATCCTGCTTTTCAGAACTCTTTCTCAAGATCTCAGGCTTAATGTCAAAGCAAGTAGCAATTTCACTCTCTTGAGGAGATAGCATGCTATTGTCAATTTGTGACTCCTCAACTGCTGATCTGAAAAGCCAAACACTAAATTGTAATACTTATCTGTGTGGAGAAATAGGTATCCATGATAAACTCCATTCATGCAATGAGTTGAGAAGCACCTAGGAGATTTATAAAAGAAAAGGTCAAATAATTTGACCCAATCATATCAAGAAAAACAAGTGAAATAAATCCATTCAGAGAACAAGGGAACCCCTCCCCCCCCACCCCTTTCCCTTTTGGCTGACAGCCTGGCACTACGTTTTCCAAAACAAATTTCACAAATTCAGAATGTCAAGTAAAAGGAAAGACCAACAGAAACTATCTTAGATTCTTAAAAGAAAAAGAAAAAGAAAAAACTGACCTTGCCTCTCTCCTCCGTATGTGGCGACAACATTTACCATCGCGGCGTCTCGGTGAAGCAGATGTGGTGGATCCAAAAGTGCTTCGGCTTCTAGTGGAAGAATCTGTATACTTCTTTTCACGTGAGCATGAAGAATCTTTGCCACTTTTCCAAGACAAGCTTCTACGAGGTAAAGGAGAAGACTCAGGCTCCGAACCAGAGAATTCATCAGTGTGATTCCTCCTCATCTTTGAACCAACCAAGCTTCCCTCCTCCTCTTCTTCCTCCTCCTCCTCTGCAGAATTATTACTCACTTTAGACTCGCAATGGATCACTTTATGGTCAGAGCTCGAGTCAAATTTGTCGGAGAACCCACTCACCCCATGGTTCTCCAAAATAGCATGAGCATATGCTATTGTCTTTTCAGCCTTCTTTCTCTGGAGAGAGACAGTCGTTAGCTGTTCCTCCAGTTCCAATACCTATAATGTATGCATAACCAACTATGTAAACTTATAAAAGAAGGATTGAGGCATGTGTCGGCATACAAACACACCCACAAATGCAGAGAGAGAGAGAGAGAGAGAGAGAGAATGTTATTCCACAGGGGTCAAAACATAAAATCTCCTAATGCAGTTGAAACATTTAACCAAACTAACCCTTTTGGCCAGTTCATCAGCTCTCTGTCTTGCAGTGCTAGAGACAGATCTTTCAGCGAGCAAGCGTGCCCGAAGGAAATCAATTGTCATTGTATTTGAATTTTCCATCCTATCATCGTGCCTGGTTAATAAAATCCCAGTAAGTCAGGACTCAAAGAAAAGAAGAGCAAGAATAAAGCAAACCCCAAATCTTAATGCTGAAAATTGAAGAAAGCTGACCATCCTAATATTAAGGAACAGTTCAGCTTCAACGTTAAGTAGACCCAAATCGATTACTGTCTATTTGGTTTGTAAAAGTAGAGACAAATTGGAAGACACTGCTCAAGAAACAAATCCAGTTCTAACTATTAAACATTTTGTTTTCCTCTCATTTTATTTATGAATACCAAACAGAGCCTAATTGTACTAAGTACTAGAGGACATAATTGAAGCATTCCTGAGATATTCCGATTCTTCCATTATCCCAAAAAATAAAAATATTTACGGTGAAAACAAAAGAAAGAACGATTCACCAACTTCAAAGTAAGGACTACAAACAATCTAGTCATTCAAGAATTGCGGGAAAATGTAAGAAACTGAAATCCCAGAAAGCCAAATCTTCCAACAAAGAAGCTCAGTATGACTGTGCAAGAACAATCTAATACTTCAAGAATTGTGGGAAAATGAAAGAAGCCGAAATCCCAGAAAGCCAAATCTATTCCAACAATGGAGCCCAATATGACTGCGCCAGAAACAACCTAGTAATTCAAGAATTGTGTTAAAATGAAAGAAGAATAACAGTGAAATTCATGATAGACCCAGCTCACCCGATTCCTAAAACTCTCACTTTCCACAGAAACACAGAAAAATCCCAAACAATCTATGTACTTACGAAGAATCAATCAAGAAAACAGTAATTTAAATGTTAAACACAAAAACCCGAACTACAGTTCAAAGCACAAAAAAACAAAGAAGATGAGAACAAGACAAGATCATCACCTCGGATCTTGATCAGGGTCTTGCTGGTTCGGAGAATTCTGCATTATCATAAGCAAAACCCTAACTCGAATTCCCACCAAAAAAAAAAAACTTCAAACTTCAAACTGCAAAGATTCAAGATTCTGTTTAGAGTAATACCCAATAAAGTAGTAAAGAAATTGAGGTGATTTAAGTGGTCAAACCAACAAATTGAAACAAAGATTTAGAGAGAGAAATTACCAGATGAGAAAGACGACTTCAAAGAAGAGAATGAGAGTAATTGAAAACCCTAAAGAGGCGATTTAGGTGTAGTGGGTATAGAGAGAGAGAGAGAGAGAGAGGAGGAGTGAGCTTCGTGGTGAAACGTTGGGAATGATCATAGGAAGCTTCTGTCTTTAAAATCACCATCCAGTCAAGAATATAATCCAAACAGTGTTCCCTAAATTTGATGGCTGCTGGTGTCAATTGTTCTCTCTCTCTCTGTCTCTTATTTTTCTTCTTTGATTTTTTTAGAATAAATTATAAATTAAATTATAAGTAGAAATATTACAAGATTAATGGAGTCTTGTAGTGTGGGACCCCCTGTTTTTTTAAAAATTATATTATATCTTATAAGATTTTTAATTTTATAAAAAATAGGTCATTTTTTAGAATAAATTATCAAGTTAATTAACAATTTTTAATAATATTAAAATTTTATTTTAATTAATAATTCGAATAATATTATTATAGTTGTAAAGAGTGATAATTATAATTGACAAGAGTTTCACCGATTATTTAATATATACAAATTCAAACCATTCGAATACACTCAAATTCAATAGATAAATAATTTTTGTTTCAATTATTAATGATTTTTCTTTTTATGTTTGGATTCTTTCATTGGGTTTGGTGGATACATTTTAGAATCGGGTGATTTTAGTTATTCACATTTTAATATTAGTTGGATAAAATATTTATAAAAATAAGAGGACAAATTATAAATATACACCTATGAGAATTGCTTAAATGTTATTTTAAAAATTATATCCCGTCTATTTAAATCTCTAATTGCATGATAATCAACTCTTTTATTAATAAATTATTATGTCAATTAATTATTTTAATGATGTCACAAACATATTTTTTTGTTAACAAATTAGATAATTTTATTATTGTATAAAAGAGTAGTTAAGATATTTTTTTTGTTAATTCTATTAAATAAAAAATTCTATTAAAAAAAATTGACAAGTAGATATTTGTAATTTTTAAAATTATAAGAAATAATTCATATTTTAACCAAATCACACTGAGTATACTTGCAATTTATCCAAAAAAAGTAAAATAATTAAATGTCAGTAGCTATATATATATTGACAATGATAGAGAGTTATAGTTTTAAAATTTTAAAGAGAGCTCTAGTGATGTGACAAGAGAAAAAAAAAAAAACCTAGGTATATACATTATATCACATATGGGCCTTATTTCTTGCTACATCACTAGAGCTCTTTTTAAAATTTTAAATTAGAACTCTCAATTTTTATTATATATATATATATATATATATTTGGTGTAATTATATATTTTTTGTAGAATGGAGGCCCTAAGGTTAAAACACAAGAAGAAGAAACTAAGACAATTGGCTAAATCGCAGACCAATAATGTTTGAGAACTCTAATTTGAGAGTTCTAATGTAACTCAAATGATGTGGAGTGTACCTATGTGAAGGTGGAGCCCACACTCCTCTCTCTATCTCTCTCTCTACTGTCTCTCTCTTTTACCTCACTAATGCTCCATTTAGAACTCTCAAATTAGAAGTATATATCATTATTCATCCCAGACTAACAGGGGTCGAATTGACAAGGGAGGGGTGTGAACAACTTGCAACTCCATCATGGCTCTTAGGCCTTTCGTTGCCATTGCATCCGCACAAACATTCATTCACGACACACAAATTGCAAGGAGCAGTTCCAATTCCTTGCCATGAGCCTACAAATTTCCATCACAATATTATGCTCTGGATATGCTTGACTGGAGTGATTGATAAGCTCAATGGCAACTTGGACATCAAATTCCACCACAACTCTGAAACAAGAGCATCTATATCAAACTCTTCAAAATAAATTTTTAGCTAAAAATTTTAAAAAATCAACTCCATCAAACTCGCATAGAGCATCCACACCAAACTCTTTAATTTTTTAGTTAAATTAAAGCTATTTTATTATTTTAGCTCTCACCTTTTAACACCTACTATATCAAACTCTTTATTCTAACTTATTCTTATTAAATATTATTTTCTTTTTATATTTGTTAGTTTTTTCTTTTTTTATTAAATTGATAAGTTACCGGTCAAATAATTTTTAAAAAAAGCAAAAAAAAAAAAAAAAATGGCCGTTGACCAGTTTACCAACTTGACTTTCGGGCGGACATCTGGTAATACACAAATAGCGATGAACAGTGCCTCGTTTGTTGTAACGAGTTACTGTAGCCATCGTATATTTTGACGAGCTGTAAGCAAGTTTGATGGAGTTGATTTTTTGAAGTTTTTAGCTAAAAAATTATTTTGAAGAGCTTGATATAGATGCTCTTATAGCTCGTTAAAATATACGATGATTACAGTAACTTGTTACAACAAACGAGGCACTGTTCATCGCTATTTGTGTATTACCGGATGTCCGCCCGAAAGTCAGGCTGGTAAACTGGTCAACGGCCTTTTTTTTTTCTTTGCTTTTTTTAAAAAATATTTGACTGGTAACTTATCAATTTAATAAAAAAAAGATAATAAGAAAATAATATTTAATAAGAATAAATTAAAATAAAGAGTTTAATATAGTAGGTGTTAAAAGGTGAGTAATTAAAATAATAAAATAGCTTTAATTTAACTAAAAAATTAAAAAATTTGGTATGAATGCTTTAAGCCTTGGAATATTGCTCAATTGACACTCCAACCATGCTTTTGAAAAAGCCCCCAAGCCAGAGCCCAGATCAGTCCCTAATTAAGCCACGGGAGCTTCTATTTGCTTTGCACACACCTTGTGTGAGTGATTTTCCGATCACACTGCCCAACTCAGTATTCAGCTGGAGAATACTGGTAGAATAGATGACACCTGGCTAAATTGTAACAGAAAGAAAAGATTCCGGCAGTGGTTTGTCCACCCGAGGGCACTCCGTCGATCAAGTCAGTATATCTCTCAAAGATAATCAATTGTGTTAAACTTACTATTCAGAATATAAATTGCGTACCTTAGACCTACGGGGGTGCCTCTCTTTTATAGCTAACTCAATCCTTTTCCCAACAGGAGCCTAGCTTCAATGGACTTAGAATTACTATTAATCTTGGACTCCCAGTAGGATTTGGATAAACTCTCTAAGAGTCTTATCCTTTCCCAACTATAGTCTTTCCCTTTTCCAGGACTCTTGTGCCTTATCCGCTTATCTCGGATTCCGATATCTTCGGAGGTAACCTCGGCCTCGCCAAGATAACCTCGGCGTCATGACCAGGACACGTGGCATCTCGGCTGACACGTCGGCGTCACCTTAGTCACGTGTTGGTACTCAGAAAATATAACCCCACAACTGCCCCCTAGGTTCTATTACCTCGGCATTCTGAGGTGATGGAACCTATATCAGTACCTCATGCTAGTACATCGGCTTAATCCGAGATCATCATCGTAGGCCTATATGTCTTCTTAAAGATCAAGAATTCCAAGAGCTCCTCCACGCGTATGAGCTGTCATACATAACAACTCAACCGTTTAACCACGTGTTTTCTCCTTACTGGATCATACTCCGGACGCGCTTATAAGTCGTTTCGCGCCTACATGCGCCGTCTGACGCATTCGCTGTTCCAGGCGAATTAATTGCCCTCTTTTGCCGCCGTTTCAAGTTTTTGACAAAACTTGTTTCCCCCTTTCGTTTTTTTCACTTTTCATTGTCTTTATTCAGAACTCTTTCTCTCTCTAGCTTCCTTTAATCCTCCATTTTTCCAAGCTCTGAAGCTCTGTAAGTTGCTCCATCCATTTCTTCCGTTGAAGTTCTTGCCAATCTATTCTGCTGCCGCCGTTCTTCTGATTTCGGCGATCTTAAGCATTGGCCTTTTTTCTCTGGTAAGTCACCATTCCTCCTGGTTTTCAGTTTTTGTTGTGTTCCCTGAAATTCTGATTTATCATTTAGTCACCATTGCTGTTTTACTCGAATATTTGATTTGCGAATCATGTATCTGAACATGTTTATTTCATAGTTTACTCGAATATTTGATTTGCGAATCATGTATCTGAACATGTTTATTTCATAATTTTGTTCTTTGTCCATGTCTTGAACACTCGCGCTGTTCACGTACCTGTTGCTTTCTGCCACTGTTCTTGGCCTGATACACTTGTGCAAACTTTTTGTCTTGATTTCTTGATGTCTTCATCACCATTCTTGTTTCTGAAATGGATCCTTGTTTTTCTGTTTTCTAGATTCGTTCCTTCAATCTTTATCTCCATAGCTTTAGGTTTGGGATTTGTTTGTAGAACCTACAATTTTTAGGAAAAACTGAAACGAATTTCTTCTAGATCCATACAAACCCTTATCATAGCATATTTGTAGATTTTTAGCTGAGGTCCTTTAAACCCTCCAAAAATACTTCTTCCTGAAATCCAATATCTCCATTTAAGCCGACGTCATGGGTATGTGGGAACATAGGGTAAACACCCCGAAAAAATTAGGGTACTTTAGGCAGGAGTTCGAAATCCCGGCCGACGTTCATCTGAGGTTGGCTGGGGAGGATGACTCTATCATGCTCGATGAAAACCTCATGCCTTTCCCAATGGTTGCGTTTATTGAGTGTGGACTTAGGTTTCCACTTGACCCTTTTTTTCTGTCAAATCTTTCATTTCTATAAGTTGAACCCAATGCAACTTGCCATCAACTCTTACTGAGTTATTAGCGGTACCATAGTTTTAGCCAAACAAGAGAGTGCTAGGATAACTCTTGCCGATTTCCAGTACTGTTATACCATGTGTCGCCTGAAATCGGAAAAAGGTCACATCTATTACCTCAAGCCGAGGTCCACGAAATACAAAATTATTGCCGACCTCCCTGACTCCAACAAGGGAGTGGGAGATGATTACTTCATCGTTTTGGATAACTGGGAGTTTCAGCCAAACGATGACCTCCACTTTTATCCCCTCAGTCGAACAGTTTTCGGGGAAGGAGCTGGTAAGGGCCACCCTTCACAAATTTTCTTGCTTTCTTGTATAAAGTTTTCAACATTCTTTTCTAATGTCTATGCTTTTTTCTTCTTTGCAGTTCTTCCTCAGCCACCAAAGGGCTTCCGTCAGTCTTTTTTTCCCAGCAAAGACTTAAAAAAACTACTGAATTTACCAGTTCACAAGTGGAAGGCCTGTCACCCCCCACTTTTTATTACTCGAAGTCATTACCAAATTCATTAACTTAATTCAATTTCAAGGATAACATGCGGAAATAAACTTATACATTCAATCCG